CACACAAACCCTACCACACAAAATCTTCAAAATCAAATCATAAATAATATGGTTTATAGACAGAATGTAAAAAAAAAAATCATAAATGTGGTTTATGAACAGAATGTATGTTTTATGGAAACGCTAAATACCCAGGATGCCACGCACAATAGCCAGGCAGGATGACACGCTCAATACCCAGGTTTCCACGCTCAATACCCAGGATGCCACGCTCAATACCCAGGATGCCACGCTCAATACCCAGGTTGCCACGCTCAATACCCAGGTTTCCACGCTCAATACCCAGGATGCCACGTTCAATACCCAGGATGCCACGCTCAATACCCAGGTTGCCACGCCCAATACCCAGGTTGCCACGCTCAATACCCAGGTTGCCACGCTCAATACCCAGGATGACACGCTCAATACCCAGGATGTCACGCTCAATACCCAGGATGCCACGGATAGATTTCTAAACACAATAAGACACAACTGGGATAAAAGTAAGTGTTTGAAATAAAGATTTCTGTTGATCTGAAGTGTAACGTATGAATTATGGATGTGTTCCAATGAGTATAGACGGCTGAAGGGGGAACTTAACACCTTCTGTGGGTGAGTGAAGGTCTCAGCTGGTCACAAAGAACGTCTGGCCTTGTTGCACAGTCAGCCCGAGCCCTTGTTTAAACATAAACAGTTTTCAAAGAATTTCAATTTCAATTTAAGTCTAAAGGTTGAGGAAACTTAATATAAGCTTAGCATTGATGGTATAGAGGTCATCAAACATTACATTGATATGGGTGTAGCATCATTAAGTTATACTTTCAACATACATGGTAAAGAGCTCATCAAACATTACATTAATCGATGTGTATCAACATTATGTTGTACTTTAAACATAGATGGTTTAGAAGTCAGCAAACATTACATTGACTGGGGTGTATCAAATAATTAAGTAAGTTATAATAATAATAATAAGAAGAAGAGGTTTTATATAGCGCGGTACCCCAGCCTAGGGCTGGGCTCACCGCGCTGTACATAAAAATTTTTATCAAAAGAAACATAATCATGACATTAAAATAAAATACATTTATGAAATAAAGAACAGCAATGTATATTCAGCCACCCCACCACATAACTTTTACAAGGCAAACCATGGACGGCAGCCAGCAAGATCATTTATCGGTCAGAGGAGGGGAATCAGTCAGGGTAGTATAATTTAAAAATATATGTTTTGAGTGCAGTTTTGAAGGCCTGGTTGGTTGGTATATTGCGTATGTGTCGTGGCAAAGAATTCCATTGTTTGGGGGCGCAGAAAGAGAAAGATCGTTCACCATATTATGTTTTAGTGTGTGTTTTGGGAACGGACAGAATACGCGTGTCTGCAGAGGAGCGAAGCTGTCGAAGGGGTGAATAGACAGAAAGAAGTTCGGTTAGATACTTTCAACTTAGATGGTAAAGAAGTCATCAAACATTACATTGACTGGGTTTTGTCAGCATTATTCTCTGGGAATAGCTGACACAGTGAAGATTTTTCTCAAGAGATGTTGAAAAAGATGTGTCTACCAACGACCTTGACACTGCTCATTTCAATAAAAGTGATTATTTATTTAATGTTAAGGGGAACATGACGTCATAGCTGTATGACATCTGCCCATTTATCTCCCCTGAATCGATGTTTCTTATCCGGCTTAGCTCCCCTAACCCTTAACGGCATGACTCTTTCAGTAGTTGTGGCAGCTTTCTTTAATTATGGCCAACCCCTGACGCCATTGATCGATCGATTTATAGATCAGCCGACGTCCTTGTATAGACACACTGCTAAAGGGTGTTTTGGTGTATAACCACAATGCTGAAGGGTATTTTCGTTTATAACAGCACTGCTCTAGGGTATTTTGGTGTTTAGCAGCACAGCTCAAGGGTATTTTGATGTATAGCAGCACTGCTCAAGGGTGGTTTGCTTCAACTCCTACGCAACGAAGCGGTCTGCAAAAGGAACAACTTTGAGGAAGGTACTACTTCTTTTGTGGTGAATTATATTAATAGGGTGACCCATTGGCAGGTTGTTTTATTTTATTTTTTTAAATAAGATTTGAACCTGAAGCGGTGAAGGACACGGTGGTATACATAAACAATATTTGATCCTCACTTTTGAAATAGTTGGTCTATGATAATTATGCACCCGGGACAGCCAATCCTTGGCACTTCCCGTGCTAAACCTACAGCCCATTGCCCTCAATTATTCTATTATGTCAGAACCCTCACACGTTTGCCCACTTCTTGCTGATGCCCCATGCGTCGTTTGGTTAGCTGAGCAGTGAAGATTTCTCAAGACTGATTTTTTTAGTTTTTACACACATGGCAGGTGAATTTTTCTTCGCCTTTTTTTTTTATTTTGCTGTCAGGTTACACAGTGACGTCACGTGACTTTTGAGAGCAGAGAGAGGTGTGACTCTCATGGAAGAGTTTAGGAGCACAGAGAGGCGTGGCTCTCATGAAAGAGTTTAAGAGCATGGAGAGGCGTGGCTCTCATGAAAGAGTTTAAGAGCAGAGAGAGGCGTGGCTTTCATGAAAGAGTTTAAGAGCAGAGAGAGGGTATGCATCTACATGTATAGGAGCCAAAATCATCAATACATTGATCGTGGGCCCTTCAGATATAGAAGAAGACCCCCCCCCCACTCCAGTGACTTCACGTTACTTTTCAAGGCTCACTGCCAGTGACGTCACGTTACATTTAAAGGCCCACCTGCCTGTGACGCCACGGTCCTGGGGACACCATTTAAAGAGATGATTACAATTTTTAATAAATTAATGTTAGCGATCTTGACATGTCCGGTATATATGGACGTGTCTGGCATATTTGGACTTGGACATGTCCGGCATATTTGGACTTTGGGCATGTCCGGCATATTTGGACTTTGGGCATGTCCGACATATTTGGACTTTGGGCATGTCCGGCATATTTGGACTTTGGGCATGTCCGGCATATTTGGACTTTGGGCATGTCCGGCATATTTGGACTTTGGACATGTCCGGCATATTTGGACTTTGGACATGTCCGGTATATTTGGACTTTGGACATATCCGGTATATTTGGACTTTGGACATGTCCGGTATATTTGGACTTTGGACATGTCCGGTATATTTGGACTTTGGACATGTCCGGCATATTTGGACTTTGGACATGTCCGGTATATTTGGACTTTGGACATGTCCGGTATATTTGGACTTTGGACATGTCCGGTATATTTGGACTTTGGACATGTCCGGTATATTTGGATCCCAAGCATTGTTATAGTAGTCAAAGCTGCCAAATCGCGACTAAAAGTGTTTGTGTGTGTTTGTGTGTGTTTGTGTGTGTGCTTGTGTGTGTGTTTGTTTGTGTGTGTTTGTGTATGTGTGTGTTTGTGTGTGTGTGTTTGTGTGTGTGTGTGTATTTGTGTAGGTGTTTGTGTGTGTTTGTGTGTGTGTTTGTGTGTGTGTTTGTGTGTGTGTATTTGTGTAGGTGTTTGTGTGTGTGTTTGTGTGTGTGTGTGTATTTGTGTAGGTGTTTGTGTGTGTGTTTGTGTGTGTGTGTGTATTTGTGTAGGTGTTTGTGTGTGTGTTTGTGTGTGTGTGTTTGTGTGTGTGTAGGGGTGACCCGTCTTTATCCCAATTATTGAACAGTTGAGGGCGGGGCTGAGTCGGTGCTCCAGGAGTGAGCCCCAAGCAATCAGGTAGAGTCTCTGTATACCTCAGTATCTACTTCTATCTGTCTACCTCAGAATCTACTTCTATCTGTAGACCTTATCATATACCTCTGTCTGTCAACGATGTGCATACCTGGACTACTTTAATAACATTTATTTGGCTATTTTTTCATATCCAATGTGACATCTGTGGTCAATGTTGTTGACATCTGTGGACAATGTTGTTGACATCTGTGGTCAATGTTGTTGACATCTGTGGTCAATGTTGTTGACATCTGTGGTCAATGTTGTTGACATCTGTGGTCAATGTTGTTGACATCTGTGGTCAATGTTGTTGACATCTGTGGTCAATGTTGTTGACGTCTGTGGTCAATGTTGTTGACATCTGTGATCAATGTTGTTTTCTTAGGAAAACGCAGACAATGCTCGAAACATCTGTAGCAAGCTGTTGTTTTTTTCCATTCATCTTCCCCTGTTTATAATACTGTTAAGTCCTGCTATTAAACTCCTTCTTAACAGACATGTACACCTTTCTCTGTGGTTAAACCTCTTCATGGGAGCCACGCCTCTCTCTGCTCTTAGACCCTTTCATGAGAGCAAATCCTCTCTCTCTGCTCTTAAACTCTCCATGAGAGCATCGCTTCTCTCTGCTTTTAAATTCTCCATGAGAGCCACGCCTCTCCCTGCTCTTAAACTCACCATGAGAGCAACGCCTCTCTGCTCTTAAACTCTTTCATGAGAGCCACGCCTCTCTTTCCTTTTAAACTCTTTCATGAGAGCCACACCTCTCTCTGCTCTTAAACTCTTTCATGAGAGCCACCCCTCTCTCTGCTCTTAAACTCTTTCATGAGAGCCACCCCTCTCTCTGCTCTTAAACTCTTTCATGAGAGCCACGCCTCTCTTTCCTTTTAAACTCTTTCATGAGAGCCACGCCTCTCTCTGCTCTTAAACTCTTTCATGAGAGCCACGCCTCTCTTTCCTTTTAAACTCTTTCATGAGAGCCACGCCTCTCTCTGCTATTAAACTCTTTCATGAGAGCCACGCCTCTCTTTCCTTTTAAACTCTTTCATGAGAGCCACACCTCTCTCTGCTCTTAAACTCTTTCATGAGAGCCACCCCTCTCTCTGCTCTTAAACTCTTTCATGAGAGCCACCCCTCTCTCTGCTCTTAAACTCTTTCATGAGAGCCACACCTCTCTATGCTCTTAAACTCTTTCATGAGAGCCACACCTCTCTATGCTCTTAAACTCTTTCATGAGAGCCACGCCTCTCTCTGCTCTTAAATTCTCCATCGCGTGTAGCGTGCAATACCTTCACCTATCAGTTTGACTCACTAATTAATTATTGACCAAGTATTAGCCTACATCCTCTTGAGGATGAGGTGATTTTGTCTGTGGATATTTCTTTCTTGTCTGCTAAACACGTCTCTACACAGGGCAATACCCCGGAGAGAGGATGGCAAAAATTCAGAGACGACGCTCGCAAAACACAGGTTTGTATGCCTACACTATTTCACCATGACAACTTGTCGTGACAGCGTGATATCTTACAGAAAAACTGGAAATCGGTTGGTAACTAAATTAAGATCGATAACAACATCTCTCTCACTGCTTTTCCCCGAACATGACCTGCGCAACTCAGAATGTAAGGCGGGCCGTAATACTTTATGAAAAACTTGTGCGGGCCAAAAGAAAATAGGACAGGTGGGAAAGCTATGAAGAGAATAATAAGAATAAAGAATATTTAGTTTTTTCGAGGGCCGCAAAGTGGGTGCTGGTGGGCCGTAAGTTGTGCAGGCCTGACCTGAACAATCGGTGTTTTCGACTTTGTCTTTGTGACTAGTTACAAACAGCATGCACCATAATGTACCAGCTTTAGACGCGAAACTGCCATGAAATATTTTCAACATCACTTTATAATAATTTTAAAAAAAGTTAGCCTTCTCCTTAGGGCAGCGGTTCTCACCTGTGGGTCGCGACCCCTTTGGGGGTCGCACGACCCTTTCACAGGGGTCGCCTAAGACCATCTGAAAACACATATACTCTACAGTTATAAAGTTTCAACGAAAATAAACTTGTGGTTGGGGGTCGCCACAACATGCGGAACTGTAAAAAAGGGTCGCGGCATTAGAAAGGTTGAGAACCACTGCCTTAGGGTGAACATTGAGCTAAGGAGAGACATGTCTGTTACAGGAGAGGCATGTCTGTTAAAGTAGTGTATTCATTCAAGCCCCATGGATGGCAGAACTTATGTTTGCAAACATCTCCATAATGTCAGTGTTAAGAATAGGAATCTTTTTAATTTCTAGATTTAATTTCATCCATCTCGTGTTTCATCTCTTGTTGTGTCTGCTGAAGAAGGCATCGAGCCAAAACGTCCGTTTCATTGTCCTGTCGTTTGTTGTCAAGCCTTAACATTTCTTGCTCCACTATTTATTTAGACTACTTCTGACAGCCTGTTACGAAATCTAGGCATGGTAAAACAGTTCTGTTATTTTCAACCATTTCCAATTCATGAATTTAACAGTGAAGTGTGTTTTAAATTAAATTTTAATTAGCTTTAACTTTCAAACAGTTTTTTATTTGGAAAGTGTGACGTACATTTGAGATTCGAGACAGATTGTGACAGCGTTGATGGAGGGGGTAAATTTGTCAAAAGAATAGCATAACATACTTTATGGACGGTCCCTTAATTGTAAACTTTTTTTTTTGAAGAGGTACAAAAGCCAGAATCCATTGTCCATACAACTTGTTGAAACATGTTTGGAAAGGTGAAAATTCAGTGTTTGCTATTGGAATCAACAGCTAGCAAATGCTTGCACTTCTGAAGAAAACAACAACCGTAAATACCCTATGATTTGCCTACAGGGTCTATCTTGTGCGATTCTGAAGAAAACAACTGTACGTAATGTATGCTATATACTATATGATTATATGATTTTCCTACACGGCGTGCGGCATGACTATCCACATTTGAAGAAAATACAACCATGAAAAACCTATCTTTATGCATATTGAATGACCTGTGCATGCCATGCATTAAGCAATAAAAAAGCAAAGCCTGGTTGTGGAGGACAACATATACAAACTGAACAAACACTATAAGAAAAACGACACGAAAAAGTCAGATCAGCTGAAGCACATTCATACAATTATTGTCATATACATATTTAAAACAAAATACAGTGATACATCTGACAACACTGATTTCTAAAGCGCTGATAATTATGTAACTAAATGTAATTAAAATTTATTTTATTTTATTTTATTTTATTTTGGTTCATGATACGTTTATTCGACTTATTTGACGAATAGAAATTGTATTATATTATTATTTTAAAGAGTAAACTCCCTTGTGTAAACTTCCGATTCTGTGGTATCAATGGATCAGAATTAGTTAGCCTTGGCCTATACTATTATTCTCATAGTGAGTATTTATAAAATAGTTCATTGTGTGTGTGTATTTTATGGTAGTAATGTAAGGCCTACCGTATAACTTGTTAGAGTTTGAGTCTTGCTAAATTCATTACTCACTCACTCAGTTACAGTACTTGCAACTCACTTAATTTAGTCAGCCACTGGACTCATGAATGAATGAGTCTGAATGACATTTTCATTTGAATAACTGGTAAGTAGAATGAAACTCTCTTATTTTGGGATTATAAATTGATAATAAGGCGCCATCCATAATAACTGACGTCACGCTATTTTCGATGACTTTTCTTTTTACCCCCATCGTCACAAAAGAATAGAAACCCCACACCTAACATGTTTTTTGGTCACAAAACCCTCCCCCCCCCCCCCCCCCAATTGCCCCCATAATTAAAATGTAAAAAATCAATTAATTCAAAATTCCTAATGCAAATGCTCCCACTTTGTTTCAACTGTTTCAAATTGTTTTCAAATTAATTTCAAGGTTATTATACATGGGACCAGTAAATTAATTACTGGGAAGTTTTTAGAATGTGCTATTTCCTATCTATAGGCCCCTGGTCCTGAACTGAGTGTGTAGTTCAAAAACAAAATTCTTTGTCTGCTGCTGATACTGTCTTGACCTTTTTAAACTAAAAAAATTCCTATCCTGTGGATAGAATTAGATTGATATACCACATCTGTGTCAGAAACATTTCCTCATAGAATACTTACTGGGGTCATCACAATATAAAATAGTTCATTAAAAATGTTGCTGTTTCATGGTGCTCTTGATAGAATTTGCCTGCCACAGGGCACCATTCACCATGGGAATCCTTGGTAGTAGCAAGGGTGCCTTAATTCATTACAGTTTGGTATATTGAAATTCTCCTCTAGAACAGTGTTTCCCATGTTCCCAAAATGTTGTTCTGCAGATATGCATTGTTCGTTTAGCCTTACATTGCAGGGCATACAACATGAATAATAATGATAAAAAAATTAAATACTAATAAATCTGTCAGGGTGCCAGGTGCAATTTCATTTCTTGTCCTCCAAACTGCTCTAGAAAGTCACCCAGAATTAACTAAGGCCACTTTCCTGGTCAACTATTTTTCGTTCAAATATGTGACTGCTTTACCCAAATAGGCTAATAATAACAACCATCTTCTAAGCCAGGGATTCCCAACTTTTTTTGACTAAGGGAACCCTTTTTAGAATTTATTTTTAGCCCCTTAGACTCAACCTATGTCTTACAAAATTATGGTTTTTGGGAGTAGTTTTATGGAGTGGCATAAGGTAAAATAATGGGACATTAAATCCGCTTCACAGAAATATGTATTTGAGAAAGGCAGCATTACTAATTTTGATTTCCTAAACATTATTTTGAAATCATTTTGTAAATGCAGCCAAAACTCTGTCAGACTTTGATTTTAAAACATGATTTTTAGTTAACTGTGAGATGTCAAATATATGAGCACCTCATTTTCCATTGTGTATTGGCTGGTGAAGGGGTTGTTAACAAAGAACATATTCAGTACGGTACCCATTTAAAGTCATGAGCACCTTCTCTTTAGCTGTCAAAAATAATGTTCAAATAACAATGTCAAAACTGTGAGATGCGCCTCAATATTTTCCAGTATTTTTTCTTGAATTTTAAATTTACCAGGTATTTTTATTCAAGAAGCTTTTTGTAAGCGGGAAGCAATCACAATGTTCCCTTTTCACACTCTACAAATAATATATAAATTTCCTCTTAGAATAATACACTTTGCATTTGCTTCAAGAAGGTAGCAGTTTTTCCTTGTTACGATAATATATTTCACTTCCTGTTGGTAATAGTCTGCAAAGAAGAAGTACCTCCTGGTGTCTTTGTAAGTAAACATAATACCTAAAATAACATTAAGTCCAGTACAGCAGGCAACAGCAGTCTATTTATCAATCTGTAGTGCAAATTCGTTAACCTTCTAATTACATAAATAAATGCTCACAAAGAGGAGGACATAACTTGCGGAAGAAATGCTAAAAGAATCACCATGCTTTCGCTATGAACATTTACTGTGAAATGACTCTAAATTTACTAGCCACCCTGAATTTATATGGGTCTAATTTTTTAGAAACTTTAGCAGATTCAGGAATGCTCAAAAAGCTTCGGACATACATTTATGCTAGTAAATTTTCGTTCGTTTTTTTGTTTCTATTCTTTAAATCTAATTGATTTTTTATTTATTTTATTTTCTGCTGGAGTGGCCACGAAGCTCCGAGAAGTGCATGCAGAGCCCTTGCATTTTTAATAACTTTTCACCAGAAAGATAAAATTATATGTGAAAAAAAAAGTTTGCTACACAACTAAGATTAAGAAAATGTGTGTCGCTGAAGCTGGATGGTTGTGCTAGGAAATTTGATATCATGTGACATCAATGAATAGCTTTTAGGCTATTGAAGATGACTTATTTAACCAACTGCCATTGTGAGGAGCTCAGGCAATGCCATGGTCTTAAACTTCATTACATCAAAGTTTGCGGACAGCGACTGGACTTTGTCAGATCATTAAAAAACGCTCCCTTTTATTTCAGGATTTAACAAGTCTCCTGACCTCTGAGACTATTATTATGTGATTAGATTTTTATGTACAAACCTATCATATGAACTTTGTGCTAAACACCTTAAATTTCTTTACATCTGATGATAAAGCTCAGAGGATGCCTTCTACTTTTAGACGTTTCAATAGATTATTGACCTTGAGGAATGCAGTCATCTTGGGAATCATCACTCTTGTGTTCACATTTCTAATGCGTAAGTGTAAGTCTCTTTAATTAAATTAATTTTGATTTTTGTCAAACCATACGCTCTAGTACAGTGGTTCTCAACCTTTCTAGTGCCACGACCCTTTAAGACAGTTTCTCGTGTCGTGGCGGCCCCCAGCCACACAATTATTTTCGTTGCTACGTCATAGGTGTAAGGATATGTGTTTTCAGATGGTCTTAGGCGACCCCTGGAAAAGGGTCCCGCGACCCTCAAAGGGGTCGCGACCCACAGGTTGAGAACCGCTGCTCTAGTATAAAGTTAAATAAAGAATAACACTTTTAAAAATTTTCAGATATGTTCATTAAGATGTCCATTACTTTGCATAATTTTTTTCCACAGAGTTTTGCATGATACCTTAAAGGCACTGAGGTTAATCTTTATAGATTTTATTTCTGGAGAAAAATTGCAGTAGTGGTTATCCTTTTTTTAAAATATACACCAAGCTTTTTTAAAAAAAATGGCAACTCCAAATAACATAACCATTGCAAGGAAAAATTCCTCAGGCTGACTGTTTGCTTTGATTGTTTCCAGTTATATTCAGTGGTGATCTTCACAATTATGACAGACATGATCTTCGCATAACGAAGGGAAGCCAAGACAGACCAAAAAGCAAGCACTTGGTTGAAAACTTGATAGTACAAGAAGACGATGGGGAAGCCATCCAATATTATAAAGGTTTGTTGTCATGTTGGTCTTAAAAAAAAGTGAATACTTTTTTTAATTACACATTATAAATACAAAAATTTAGAGAAGCAAATTATATGCCAGTACTTTAAAACAGGTAATTTTTAAAATTGAATTATTTTGTGCTTTTGTCATTTTGAGTCTAATGTTTGATTTAGTTAGGATTTAACATATTTTAATCAAAGCTTTGTTGTTTTATTGAACAGATACAAGACCTCCTATGAGTGTTGCCAGAATAGCCAAGTACTGTAATCCTCCAAGTGGCCAAACAATGGGAGAAGAGGGTACTTGTTTCCTTCTACATGTTATTACTTGATGTATTAATCCTGATGCTGTTAATTATATCCTATCTTTGAAATGGAATCTTGAGTTGTGAAACAGCTTCAAAAAATCTATTTAGTTTAGGTCAACTCCATCAGTCGAAGTACTTTTATTTCCAGGTCTCATTCCAAGTGACTACAAGCTGTTGAATGTTCATGTTGTCATACGTCATGGGGATCGTTCACCTATTGGCAGGCTCCAGGGTGGGAAATCTGGGGACTTGAGCTGCCTCCTTGATGTCTCTCATTATCCTCATCTCCCCAAAGTGAACAACTTTGTCCACATCATGGCAGGTGCTGCCAAGGAACGGTCCAAAGATAATGTGTTTAATAGGTAATATATTGCGTTTAATAGGTAATACGTTGTGTTTAAAAAAAAATTACTTGAGTACTTGAAAATATCAGAAATTTAATTATGATTCATTTGCTGATTTTGCAAAAAGTCTTAGTTCCTCATGCCTATGATCAAACTGTTTACTCTCTAAAGTTTTAAAGTACAACTATCCCAATCTTGATCTTGTTAATGAATTTCTCAACATTGTACATTAAATTTTCTTTGTAGAGACCTGAAACTTCCTGACATCTCTAAATTTTTGGGCTAGATGATATAGGTAAAAAATCAGAAAAAAAATCAATACCTGTTCCTGAGACAGGGGTCAGGTTGTTTTACACCCTTAAGAGGTGGCATAGGAACAATTTTACTTTCATGGCATTAGGACAATTTTAACTTCATGGCATTAGTACAATTTTACCTTCATGGCATTAGTACGATTTTACCTTCATGGCATTAGTACAATTTTACCTTCATGGCATTAATACAATTTTTCCTTCATGGCATTAGTAAGATTTTACCTTCATGGCATTAGTAAGATTTTACCTTCATGGCATTAGTATGATTTTACCTTCATGGCATTAGTATGATTTTCCCTTCATTGCATTAATACAATTTTACCTTCATGGCATTAGTACAATTTTACCTTCATGGCATTAGTACAATTTTACCTTCATGGCATTAGTATGATTTACCTTCATGGCATTAATACAATTTTACCTTCATGGCATTAGTACAATTTTACCTTCATGGCATTAGTACAATTTTACCTTCATGGCATTAGTACAATTTTACCTTTATGGCATTAGTACAATTTTACCTTCATTTATTTTGTATGGAACAGATGCAAGAAAATAAGCTTTAATTTAAATTTAAAAAAATTCATTTTATAAAAAAAAAAGATTTTCCTTTTTTCAACAAAAAAGAACATTAGTTTTTTTTAAATTATTTTTTTTTCTTTTTATAAGTAATGCTTGTTGTCTTTAATACTAAATGTTGGTCCCAAACAGGTTGCATGCAAACCAAACAGCTTTTCCAAGTCTTACATTGTTTCTACTTTAGTCTTAGCGTAATTTTTTCAATGAAAGCTTCCAACTTTGAATTTATTACAATAAGATTGCGTGCAAACCTGAAGCTGTGATGGTTTTTAATCAAAACTTCAATACAAACCATAAGAACAATCTTGCTTAAACTTCAAGTCATGATTCTCCCTTCTTATGAACCATTTTAGCCGACATTGCTTGCAAAATTGAACATTTTTATAAAATTATGTTTGATCATTCCTAATTTATATATACCTAATAGTGATATGAATTTGTAGGGGACAGGTATCTATGATAACCTATACAAAAATACATAGCAGAAAAAAATTTAGGATTATTTCACTGACACTATATAAAATAATAAAAAATAAACTAAGTCAGCCATCTGAATATAAATAAAGTTTTACAAAATTTAACCTTAATACTGTGTAGATACTAAAGAAGTATACCTTTACTGAGACTGTAAAAGACGTGTATGCACATTGTACCTAAGCCACCTGTTAGCTTTGTAAAATTATGCTGTTGGATGAGGGTTAATTATGTGCTCTAAAGGAGACTGCACATCCGTCATCCTAGGATGCTGTTGACATGCTGGATTATGATTGATTGTCCTAACTCTAATGTTTTATTCCCAGGTGGGCAATGTATCCATCCCATCCAGTGTGTGCCGATGGCCAACTGACGGGGCGTGGTGCTGTCCAGCAAATTCTCAATGGGATGCACTGCAGTGAGAGGTACTATCACCAGCACAAGTTATTTGATGAGGAAAACTGGTCTCAGAAAGTGGTGGCTCACAGCACAGAAATTTCAAGGACCTACCAGAGCGCTGTTGCCTTCCTATATGGTCTTCTACCCACTTTTGATCATGAGAAGATCTCAATAAATCGTGCCTCTAACATAAACTTCTGCGAGGAGAATATAGTGGGTGGCTCTTGCTCCTGCAGCAGTGTTGAAAGTTTGCGAGGGAAAGCCATCCGTGAGTGCAGGGCGGATGAGGGTTACATTGAACTGCTCAAGAAGCACTCACATCTTGTAACCCATCTAAGTGATGTTTTGGGCATTAGGCCAAAAAATATTCAGTGGACATCAATAATGGATGGTCTGAGCAGCTTTGCTTGTCATAACACTGCACCCTTCTGTAACAGTAATCACTCCTGCGTTACAGCAAAGACGGTGGAAGATGTATGGAAACTCGTGGACCACCAGAGTGTTTGTTTACACAATAACCCACATTACAAAAAATTTTCCAAGGTATCAAGCTACGGACTGCTCTACAGGATAGCCCGTGAGCTTAAAATGGCTGTACACACTGGAAGCAACTCCGTTTTTCACCTATATTCTGGACATGACACAACGGTGTCGCCACTGATCACAGCACTTGAGCTTCAGGATGCCGTCTGGCCGGGGTATGCCACCATGATTGTTTTTGAGCTCTATCAAAAGAAAAGCTCCAAAGAAAATTTCATCAGAATACTGCAGAATGGGAAATTGGTCACTTCTGAAGTGGTTTTCTGTCAAGGGGTGACCACGGATGGGTTTTGTAGCTTAAACAGATTTTTGGATTATGTATTGTCAGAGAAGATCAACTCAACTTGCCAGACAATAAATTCAGGAGAGAAGTAAAATGCTAAGATTAATGCCCAGATAAAATTTGTTAAAAAAATTAAATACATTTTCCATTTCTTGTACAAGTTCAAGGCCATGTAGAAGCAACATATCAAAATGGAGATGTTAAGATCTTTTCAAAAATCTATTTTAAAGAATATGTTGATGCATTAAAAAATAAAATTTGAATAATTTAAATAATTTTAGTTAAAAATAAAACAAACAACTTATTGACTGCCACAAGATGATTAGTGTTGTTTAATCTACTTAAAAACTGAGATTTTAATTTCTATTCTTCCAACTTCTCTTAACACATTTATCCAGCTGTTTGATGTCAAAGGGCATTTAGGGATACTAAATCATTTGTCTTTCAGTGGTATATTAACCCTTTCTAGTCCATGTGAAAAATAAATTCACTTCAACCGCTACAAGTTTTTTCCATTTGAATTATTTTATTTTGACTGAAATTTAGACAAGTGAACTACTAATGATGAAAAATAAATCGGCGGCCGTGATAATTTTCACTTTTAAGCTTATACAATTTTTTCCCTCATAACAATCATAAACGATTAATAATAAAGGATTACTTTATTTATTTGAAACCGACTTCAAAAGATATTTAAGCCCTGAGATGAGGATTCTGATAGTATAAATGGATTCACTTTCATCTCTAAAGTTAATTATACATGTGAATGCTATGATAAAACTTTGTTTTTAAATTTGATAATTAAATTTTCTTCATGAAAAGTGATTTTTCATATTAAAATAAGCGATTGTTCAATATTTTAATATCTTAATGATTTAAAGAAATTTAGACACTTTAAATACATTTTAAAAATAGTGTAATTGTTTAGAACTTAACATTTTAATTAATCTCTCCTTATGGAATATAAATGAAGTTGCTAGGTGATTTTATTTAACACTGCATTTTTGTTATTAAAAGCATTAAACTTACATTTGTTACCAGCTAGGACCAAATAATAGTAGTTTTATTTATGTGAATAGAGCCTTATCAACATGTCAACAATGCAGGATTTCAGATTTATTTTTCAGCCCTTGAGTGCTTTATAATGTGATCAGAAATTGATGACATTGTCGTATTAAAAAATAATTGTTTTCTACTTAAGTTAATATATGTGTACACCAACATAATCAAGAATGTCCATACATATTTAATTGAGCATAGTCAACTATCCTAGAATCGATTTATAAATGCTTTATAGCTGTTGTCAAAATTATGTCTATATGTTATTTTGTTGTGTTCAAACTACATATTCAATGGTGGAAAATAGTTGAACACATTAAAAGAAATGTACATTTTTATAAGGATGAAATTTTTCTTCGTTTGCATATATTTGATGAATCATAAGATTTCATAGATCTTTATATTAATATGCACAGTACACACCATAATAATTTAAAATCTGAAACATGCACATTGCAAAATAAAACATTTTTTTCTTTAAATAAAACATGTCTATGAATTTTTATGCATACATTTTGTATTTATAGACTTTTACTTTAAATTCTGGGCAATGTTCCCACTAAGCCAGTCCGCACAAAAATTAAAGTGCGCACACAAGATTTTTGTATGAAAATAATTATTTCTTTTTTTTTTGTAATATGTATAGAAAGAAATAATAATATTATTTTATTTTTTAAACAAGTGCGCAACTGTACATTCTTTTCCATTTTGTTAGTTCCACCCAGGCACCCAGTCTGACCATTTAATCTTTAGATTTGGTTTTGTCACACAGTTCACAAAATGTGCACCACCTTTTAGCCAAAATGTTGCACCATCTCTTAGCTACAGTGTTGCACATACAGAATTTTATGCCCACACAAGCTCCAAAAATTAGATGGAGCATCGATTCTGGGCATTTAACATTTCATTGATTATAAAATTGTAAAAAAATAGTTAAATGCAAAGGAACCAGAAATATGGCCAAAAATTAAACCAATAAAACATCTTCTGCTTCCACTGATGCCAGAAATTTTCATGTTATTGTAAACCCATTTATTTTAAACCTATTTCAATTCTTGTTTTTGTTATCATTTGTTTTCTTATGACAAACTTAGCCAGTGCAGAATATTTTTTTTATCATATTATACATCACCCGTGTGATGAGACTTGGAAAGGTCTGTTCTAAATTTTAATTTGCTGCCATTTGTTTATGCTCTTGTTTATACTATACGTTTTATAATTCTTTTTTTTAAAGAAGCACTTGTACTATAATCTATTACAAATTTAGACAACATGAAAATAATGTCATGGCTTGTATGCTAGAGGGACTGTAATTTATTTTTATGCAAGTTTTTAATTTAGGATAATCTTAATGTTTACATGTATTTATATATTAATTTTTTTCTTTCTTCATTTAAACTTCACAAGTAAATTAAATAAACAAAAAATTTTATTACCCATCAAAGCCACATGTTTATAATAGTTTCAAATAATTGGCACAGAAAAAATTTGGTAGCAATAGGAATATTTTGTTCATCATTTCTTCTAATATTTCATAAATGCAGTAAATTCATCAATACTTACGCTGCACATATATTTCTGTTGCTTTTATACAGCATAAAGAATTTTTCAATTTATTTTTTTCTACATCCAGATAAAAAGTAACTCCTTGCATATTGACGCTGTGTATGATACTAGCTTAAAGTTTTGTGACATATCCTGCAATAATAAAATTTGTAATTCATCGTTAAAAAACATTGTGTGTCTGTTTCGGTTAAAATGTTGAATTATAACCATGACAGTTGCTCATTATTACCTTTTATGATAATCACTACATTCTAATTTTTTTAAATTAATTATTCATGATATTTTATTGTTGAATATGTTTTATACTAAATAAAAATGTTCCAAGCATTTTGATATGACCTGTCACCATATTGTTCACTGGGCTTTCAGTTTTGGTGACAGTTTAAGCCAGTGATGGGCAACCCAAATGCTTTGCAGGCCACTTTGATAGCGAGGAAACTTTGCTGGACGCATATCATTACACCGTATATTAAAATAACGATCGACTAAATGCTGTATAGAAATGTGTATTATACTTAATGCACATAATTTAATGATAAATAACAAAACAGAATAAACCTAAACGAACGTGACATTATTTTATATTTTATCTCACTCATCTTTTTAAAATTGATTTCTTTATCAATTGCTTGGAGAACAAATAAGGTTATTTGTGATAAACGCGGCATCCTCTTGCCTTTCTATGTTTTGTGTTTGTATATATAAGAAGCAAAGTTTACCATGTAACACTAAAAAAACTAATCAATTTAGATATGCTGAGATATTTAAAAACAATGATGGGGATTTTCTAATTTTTACAGAAATCAAATAAATTTAAATATGATAAAAATAAAATATAACTGCTTATTTTTAAGTTAGTTTTTTTTTTTTAGAGTATCATTATTATAAATAAGAATATATATTTATTATAGCAATTAACAAAATTATTTTGAGTATTTTATTTGAATGTAAGAGTTAAGATATGTGAGGTGACAGGTTGCAATGCAACCTGTGGGTTGGCCATCCCTAGTTTAATGCATAGTTTTAACAAAATACCAAAAACTTGAACTTGCTAAAATGACATAAATTACAAAACTGTGTGTTTGATTATGTTGAAATCATAAGTTGTGTTCTAATTATCATACAAATTATGTTTGGTAGCTGACATTTATTGATATAAAATATATTTGATAGCTGACACTTATTGATATAAAATATATTTGATAGCAGTATTAGCAGACAGTTATTATATTTAAGTAAAATATTTGTTGGTGTATAGTTCATTTAAAGGAGGTAATTTGTACTGTATTCAATTATTTTATCACCAAGGCCAGGGTTGAATTTTGTTGTTGTTTCTATTTGAAATCATAAACACTTATTTCTTTCAGGCCTTGAAAATGGATGTGAGGGATCTAATGCTCTATTCACTGGATTAAAATGTAGGAAGTATTCATTTGTTAAAGTTGGCTTTTCAGCATACATGTCATCCTGCTGGATCAAACATTGTACAAGACTAATTTTTTAAAAGAAATTTTCATTTAATTATCAACCTTTGATTTCATGCTAACCTACAATTGTCATTGTTAATTGTGCAATTTAAAATTTTTGTGATTGCAATGAAATTTGCAAATAATGTCACAGCTCTTGTAACTTAATCCTGTTAATTATTGACAATGTGGGAGTGTGAAAAATAAGGTTTTAATAGCAGTAAAATTTCCCTTTCTGCCTTTTTTGCGCAAATGTTTTAAAATGCATGCAGTGATTCGATTGACGCATGCATAATTCCATGGTTTTGGTATTCCGTCATTAGAAACTTCCCTAGTGTGTGTCTAATTCCAACTTTAAAAAAATAATAAATTAGGTTCACCTATTTAATTAGACGTTTCCAGCTGGCATAAAATAATAAATTTGTAAAAAAAATTACAAATCTAATTCTCACCGACGTTGGCTCTAAATAAAGTACAGGCCTGTTGCCACAATGAAATATTTCACACCCGCTTTAGTTTTAGAACGTGCAAACACATTAAACTAAGTTGAGCCATCGTGGGCCTGATAAACAAGCACTTAAACTATTCTTTGAATGTTAGTGATATTAAATACATTTTATTACTTAAAATTAATTAAAAGAACACTTACTGACACCCCAGTAGATACTGGTTGAACCTTGCTCAGATTTTAAATTTAGATGGCATAATTTGTTGAAAGGTGATGGCTATCCTGATGTATGTTATTGTTAAGAATTTCTGTAACAATTTTTGGATTGTAGATCCAAAAAGAAATATCTTGATGATAAATTGATATAGAGGAAATTTAAAAAAATACTTATTGGTGATGAATTTAAATTGTGTGTTGGTTAAATGTTTTTAAAAAAAAATATTTTTACGAAATTTTATTAAAATAAACTAATTTAACCTGCCACTCATTAGCGATATCAAATACACTGGGCCTGGTCTAGTTGCAAAAAGAGCGCACCCGCGGGAAGGTTAAGGTTTGCTATTAAATGGTTACTTGAAGATCAAGAAATGTGTGGGCCAGAATATCAAATTTTATTACATGTTCTGTTTAGTTATAACTAAGTTGTGACTTTTATGTTTATAACAATATTTCTGCACTATGGTGTTTAAATAAAGTTTTTGCTATGGTTGTATTAAGTTGAGGTCTGGATCAAGAAGGCAGCATGTTGAAATTGAGATTGTCCAAAGTGCGTTTTGGAAGATTTATGTCCCCTGAGGGCGGGGAGATTATTAGTAACGATGGTAGGACCATCTCCCATTGTACAACAATCTCTTCTAACATACAAATTTTAAAGCATCAAACCCATATGTATACCTGTCTTATCATTAAGATAGGAAAGTTTTGCTTTGATGGAATGGTTTGGTACATTTTCTTACTACAAATACTCATAGCTTATTGTCAGCTTAAAATTTTTTTGTGGAGAAAGTTGTGTCTGAAATTATTTTGTGAGCCACATAGTTGGCAGGTTATGTTTTTGAAACCACTTGTCTTGGGTTTATTTGTCTCACTGGTGCATGTACATATACTCACTCATAATGAAACAAGTCAAGCTTTGGGGGAATTTTTTCTTTTTAAAAACTATGAATGGTTTTGATTGGGTAATGGCTTATAGTATTGAGTTATGTTTAATTTTACAGGTTTGAAGTTCATTTTTATTGCAGAATGTTCCATTATTCATGTATATATTGTGTCAAAAGGGCAACCGAAGCTTAACTTTAAACAAGTATATCTGCCTGTGTTGTGAGATTTGAGATTATTCATATATGGTGGGTGAAGCCAATATTTTATTGAAATATGTTGGACATTAAATTATTGTCCTCAATAAAACATTACTTAATTCATGTAATTTATGTTCTTATCTTGATAGTAAATATTAACAAAATTGATTTAATAAGTGTAGTCAGATTGTTGGTTGGATGTTGAGTGGTTATGTGTGTTGAGTGGTTATGTGAAACATGAATTGATTCCTGGACAATCATTACATTTCAGTTGATCACAGGAATCAACAGGTCAACAAGAAGGTACAAGCTATTGAAGAAACACATTTAAAAAAATGAGAAAAAAAATTGATGGAGCTCAACAGGATTTCCAAACATAAACAATTCTGTTTATTCCAAGTCCATACATAAAAAGTTATCACAGGAGAAAAATAATCGATTGATAAATTAAACAAACAAAAAATGTCAGTGCTTTCCCTTCAACTTGATATAATCTCATAAATTATTTTATAATAACACAGTTGAATACAATATGTATAGTTTGTCCATTATCTCCATCACCACATAACACAATTTAACAAAATAATATGTAGTTCTGATCATGAACTGTGCCACCATTGTACACTTGCAGTTAACACATCATTATGTAATAAAATTTTGTATTAGATGATGGATAGAGCCAGGTAGGTCTGTAAATGTTAAGACAGTGTCAGGGTTGCAAATGTTAAGTCTGGCCTAAGGCAACAGGCATTTTAGATGCTGAATATTTTTCTTCTAAATACCTAAAAAATTAAGTTTGTTATAATAGAAAGATAAATAAATCCACTCACTTTGAGCATTAAGTTAGTTACATCTTTATATTTATCTTATCTTTCTTTCCATCAGTGTGTGTCTGGAAATGTATGTAAGATAAAAAAAAATCAGTTTTCTTCTAAATGGATTTCCAACCCATTTTAAAGCTTACAAAATATTTTTTATTTAAAAATTCATAGAAAAACTGTACTTTGCATTTTTGAAACAAATTTAAGGCAAGTATAACGTGTGGACTTACCCCAAAATGATACATAGAAATGGTAAAAATGTATTACTTGAAATAGATCAACCTCATAAGATGCTAAAAAAAAGTTCATTATATAGCAGTCAAAGTGCTACAATTCCTTCCATTTACATGTTATTTAACTAAATATCTAGCAACTAAATAATAATAAGTCCCTGACCAACAGATCATTCATATATATAAGTCATGGCAGATTTTAAACTTCTGAATAAAATTAACAAGTTATCAAGTTTATTAAGTTATCAAACAAAATATGTATGTTACTATTACTAACAAATATTTTGCATTTAAATCCTTTATATATTATCATATCTTAAAGAGCTTTTTTAAAAATTCCTTTCATATTATTTCATGTTTTTTTTTCCTTTCTAAATATTTATTTTATTGCAATAGATGTGTAACAAAATCAAATTCAAAACAAATTTTAAAAAATATTATAAAATTTCGTTTTTTTTTCCTTTAATTTTTATTTTTTTAATCAGTTAAAAAAAAAAATTGCACAGCTTGGTACTTTCCATGATTAAATATAATAAAATATGTAAATAAAACAAAAAGGCTTGTAAGTACCAGCTCCTCTGTAGATATACAGATAAAGATAAGATACAATTCTTTTAGTGATAAAAAAAAACCGGGGGCATAAGTTCTGCACAGAGCTGCAATGTTGTCAAATGACCTAGTTAAATGGAAATTAAACCTCACTCATTTTTTTTTCTTCTTGCTTTTGATTTGAAATTTCCCCTTACATATTTACACAATTGGTAAGGCAAGAACCCTCCAGAATAAAGAGGATGGGGAAGACGTAAAAACACCTGGCGAAGAAGTGTCGACAAGGAGGTAATAAAGATTGGAAAGAGAAGTGAGCAAGAGACCAGAAATCATAGAAAGATATTGTTAAGCTCTTGATTTGAAAAAGCAGAGAATACAATGAAGAAGGTAAGAATCCACCTAGCTTTGACAGATTTAAAATTCATTTAGACCAAGCTGAGGTTCTAATTTAGCTCAGTAGTGATCTGTGAGCCAAAGTAAGAAGCACTTGAATGTAAATTATAAACATCCATTCCAGAAAATTCTGGCTAATTAATCAATGTTTTAATGTACAAAATTATCACAGTGGAATGTTCATACGGACAGACATTGCACACAATAAGAATATTACTGCACACAAACAAGCAGTGAATGTTATCATATTTTATTACATTGAGCAGACTCTATCATGAAGCAACACTCAAATCACGCAATAGACTTCATCATAGAGCATCACTCAAATCACTCAATAGGTCTTCAGAATCAAGATCTAGTTCCTGTCAAATTAAACAAAAATATGTAAATGATGTTTCTGTCAAAATTCTATTTTGCCCCTAATTTACTAAAAACGGACAGCCTTACATTAATTGCCATTCCAGGATTGGCCTAGTGAGCCATTGGTTGAAGTGTACATAACTTCTCCATCATCTCGCCAAGACGGAAGGATGCCATATATATTACATATTTATCTATAATTATAATTTCCCAAGTGACTGTTCACCTCGCTCAAGAGACGAAATAAAGTTGAACCACTTTTTTTTTGTTGCAATGTGCTATTAGTGATACCCGTTGGTAATAATGATGCCAAGGCTTTGTGGATATATTGAGAACCTTCTGAAATTATAATTATAGTTGATGCAACTCTCCCTGTAATTTACACATGTGACATGGTTTCCATGCCCCAGCTCAGTATATGTAATATATAATACCGGTAATGTATTTTTGGCTTATTTATTACATTAGCATTTAGGCACATGACCACAACTGTTTTTGAAAACAAACATTTGGAACATTAATGAACCTTTCAAAAGAGACTGTAATGTTTTTAAAACATTTAAAAACCTCCTTACCCTACCCCATTTTACTCTTTGTTTAACATTCTACTTTTTGACTAAATTTGCCACTCTATACATCAACTCTATAGTAACTTTGTACATTTTTTTCTAAATAAGACACTCAATATCTACTCTATAGAAACTTTTAACTTTTTGTTTAAATAAGACACTTGATATCTACTCTATATCTACTGTATAAAAGATTTTTACTTTTTCTCTAAATGAGACACTCTATATCTGCTCTATAGATATAAAATAATGAGTGAAGATTTGCTACAGACATGAAATATAAGGCATGTTAAATGAAGACCGAAGACACATTTTTGCCCTTTGTAGTGTGGCATTTTCTGTTGTTAAAAGGGAGAGATTACATTTTTTCCAATATTTCTGATTTTTCAATTTGTTTAAAAACCTTCAACACTAAAAAACATCATTTATCTTTTATATTAAATAACCTCTCTAAAACGAAGAGAAAACAATTATAGTAGAGATCAATTAGAAACGCATAAGAGAATATAGGAGAAAGACAAAGGTTCACATAATAAAGGGGTGAGCTGAGCAGGTGGGTTTAAGACTCACCGTAATGTCAAAGTCATCAATATTGAAGTTTTCTAAGTCAAAATCAAGCTCTCTCTCCAAGTCAGATAGGGCTGGGGAGTCTTTATTGTTTTTTGTCACTCCCCCATCAACCGTCAGTTGTATCAAACTGGCTTGACCAGTAGGATTTGAAGATATAGTTGAAAGTCTATCAGGCATAGGTTGTTGGCCTGGTTCAGGCAGGGGATATTCAACTGGGGCAGACATGGGATATTCAACTGGGGCAGGCACAGGATATTGACCTGGGGCAGGCACAGGATATTCAACTGGGGTGCTCTCAGGGATGTTTACTTCAGCTGCTGCCTTTTCAAGTAATTTGAAAATATTCAATGAGACATTAAATGAGATGTTAAATGAGACACTGAATGAGACATTGAATGAAAAAAAGAAATGAGAAATAGAATGAGTCATTAATAGAGACATTAAATAAGACTTGAATGACACATTAAATGAGACACTGAATGAGACACTGAATGAGACCTTGAATGAAACATTAAATGAGTGACAAAACAAGACATTAAATGAGACATTAAATGTGACAGTGAAGCAGAAGAATTTGAGGATAGATCTGCCAGCCATAACAACGGTGAGATTACATTTTCAAGCATCATTTATTTTTTCATTAAGTATCATATAATCTTTAAATAAAATAATAGCACTTTTGGGCTAAATATTAATCAAAATATAACTTCTTGTGGTCTTTTAAAAACATTATTATTTCCACAATTAGTTTTCTGACCGCGATAAACCACAAAAACTTGTCTGAGAGCACCAGCAACCATCAAATTTGAAGATGATGGATCAAAATATAACTAAACATTTAAGGACAATGAGCCAAACCAGAGATCACTCAAAATACAAAACGAAATTCTTAAAAATGCTGCCAGTGTGTTTGGTGCGTAATGTTCTTATAAATTTGCAGTGTAATATGGGGTGGGGCATTAGAATATTAATGTAGTTCAGGGCGGCAACACAGTTGGGGGGTGGGGGGGTGGGAAGAGCCCCGATTTGGAATCTTTCAATATTTAAGTGCATTGCTTGAATGCATATTTTCTCAACTAACTTTAGTAGATTGGAAGTTCACAGATTGCGGCTTCCATTGTTTGGAGGGCCTATAGCTAGTTTAAAATGTTAATAAAATAAAACTTGAGCTTTTAACATCTACATCAGATTTGACTGACAGTGGGGCATATTAAAAACTCTTCAATCCCAAATGGCAAATTAAAATGAAATAAAAGTTTAACGTAAGTTTTAATGATGTACCTTTCTTTTGCCACTGACTTGCACCTTGACAAAACCTTCTTCTTCCTCATCCTCAGTTTCTCCAGGAGACGGCTGCAGTGAAACAGTCAACACACCGATTCGCTCTGACTCCTGCATTTCTCTCACTGGGACACGATCTGCATTACTCTGGTAGGAATATGTGCACGGGTGGAATTTATATTCTAGACTTCTGAGAAAAGTTTCATGAATGCCTACATCTGAAGCTAGGACATTAGCATCTTAAATGGCCAGGGTGTGCAAATGGGAAACAACTACTACCAGTAATTATTTCCTACACAAAGCATACATAAAGCATACTTTGGGAAATAGTGTGGTTAGATCTCTTCAACACTTGAACTAAAAAGCAAATGTGTGAAAAAACAAAAGAATAAGGTATGTTGAAGTTTGAAGTAAAAAGACAGGACAATCACAAGAGACTGTTTTGACTAAATTCCTTCTTCAGAAGACGAGGAAAAAAACAAGAAATAACTAAGAAATACCATTGAGTTAAAAAAAAATTAAGGGTTTGGAGTTTGCCATGTTGTAGGGAACAATTTTACTGAATAAGCTTACATAAAATAGTAACCAAGGAGTATCTGGCTAACAGCAATTTAAAGTGGGATGACATGAATAAATTAACCAAGGAGTATCTGGCTAACAGCAATTTAAAGTGGGATGACATGAATAAATAAACTATACAAATTTAAGGATTTATACAAAAAAGTTCCTTATCTCAAGGTGATGTGAGACGTACTGAGATGAAAAGACTTAAGTAATAAAAGAGCAATTCATTAAAAAAAAAGTTAATTGTATTTATAGATCATTAAATTATTTTATTTAAAAAGTGTTTTGGCTGTGTGTAAGAGAATACTCTAACATGCCAAAATTTGAGGATCTTTAATGATTTAATGTTATGATTTTAAAAAAAAACAACATTGGCAATTGCTTATACATTTTTTCTTTATCGTTTTGACAGAATTTAAAAACTCTTTTTTTTATTAATCTTGACATGACTGGAAATTCTAAAGAAATAGTTGAATTGTCTCTATAGAAATAAATAAACAAATAAGTCATCTCTGCTCAACCTGTATTCTGGAGTATTGAGCAGCAGGAATGACCTTCAACCTCTCGGGTTTGATAAACTCTTCAGCTTTGAGAAGTTCTTTGTAGCCAGGGAATAGGTTCTCATACTGCGTGGGGTCAGCAATTGCACTTGCAACTCTCTTGTTGTGGCTGGCCATCATTTGTTGCCAGAGACAGACAACTCTTTATAGAGAAAGGAAAAAGATGAGAGGTCTAAAAATTGTTCCCATCAAAATCATTTCATGTGATATTCTAAATATATTCACATCAAAATCATTTAACTTGATATTGTAAAAATATTTACCAAAAAAATCATTTAATGTGAGTCTATAAAAATATTCACATCAAAATCATTCATGTACAAATACTAAAGGTAGCTGAAATTCATATTTTAGGAATGAAATAAGAAACAATAACATTGTAGAAAAAAATGCCAATATAATTAAATTGGCTGCTTAATTTGAAGACTCTTTGTTTTCTTATTTACTGTGGAAAAATAACTAAAAGTCAGAGATAAGGTAAAATATAGTCATAGAAGTGAACCTGGAAATCTGGGAAGGGAGGTAAGTCCTAGCAAAAAATGCAGCCTCTGGTAGACGTCCTGTTTTAATAAGAATTTCCAGGCAGTCTTCACATCTTGGGGAAGAACAAAAATAGAAATAAATTTAATCAACTGAACAGTAAAGCCAAAAAAAGATGCAATAATACAAAATCAATCATCTTATTTTTTAAACAACAAATCTATATATATAAAAATGAATGTTTGTATGACTGTCTGTATGTCTCGTATGCGCTCCTACACCATTCATGCGATTGCGACAAAACTTTAAACAGTTGTTTTCCACTTAACCGGACATTTAACTGAGTCATTAAAAACCTTATCAAGTGTTCCGTTCCTAGCCGTTGGCCCTTAATTCGTTTTTTTTCTAATATGAGCTTTGTAAAATATTTTCCACATGTGCTCCTACGCCATTTATCCGATTCATATAAAACTTTGGTGAAATGTTGCGAGCATGTCTATAAACATTTCTAAATTATTACAATCGTTTTAAATTATTCAGTTTTGAGCCAGGGGCCTCACATTCGTTTTTCCTTATATGAGCTATATAAATATATTTTCAAACCGTATGCGCTCCTACACCAATCATGCGATTGCTACAAAACTTAGTGAGTTGTTGTTCATGCGCCAGTGCATTTTACTGTGTTATTTAAACACTTTTAAAAACATTCTGTTTTCGGCCGTTGGCCCTTAATTCGTATTTTTTCTTATATGAGCTTTGTAAAAAATAATTTTCATATGCGCTCCTACGCCATTTATCCGATTCCGATAAAACTTTGGTGACATGTTGCAAGCTTCTCTATAAAGGTTTCTAAATTATTACAACCGTTTTAAAGTATTCATTTTTGAGCCAGGGCCCTCATATTCGTTTTTCCTAATATGAGCTATATAAATATATTTTCAAACTTTATGCGCTCCTACACCAATCAAGCGATTGCTACAAAACTTAGTGAGTTGTTGTCCATGCGCAAATGCATTTTACTGTGTTATTTAAATACTTTTAAAAATATTCCGTTTTCGGCCGTTGGCCCTTAATTCGTATTTTTTCTTATATGAGCTTTGTAAAAAAATAATTTTCATATGCGCTCCTACGCCATTTATCCGATTGCAATAAACGTAAAACTTTGGTGAGATGCTGAAGCACGGCCGCAGAGGTTTTTAAATTATTATAAACTTTTCAAAATATTCCAATTTTAGCCAGCGGCCTTATTTACGTTTTTTTCTTATACGAGCTATATAAATATAATTTCAAACCGTATGCGCTCCTGCACCATTCACGCGATTGCGACAAAACTTTGACGAGTTGTTATCTATAAACATAACCATTCATTACAACACTTTTAAAATATTCCGTTTTGGGCCGTTGACCCAAATTCTTATTTTTTCTTATATGCGCTTTGTAAAAAATAATTTTCTATGCGCTCCTATACCATTTTTCAGAATGCGATAAAAATTTAGTGAGATGTTGTTCTATCGCCCACAAAGGTTCTTAAATTACTACAACCGTTTTAAAATATTCAGTGTTGAGCCAGGGGCCCTATGTTTGTTTCTTACAAAATGAGCTATATAAATATAATTTCAAACCGCATGCGCTCCTACATCATTCAAGCGCTTGCGATAAAACTGAGGTGAGTTGTTGTCCATAAGCCAGAGCATTTTTCTAAGCCATTATAACTCTACTAAAATATTCCGTTTTTTTGGCAATCGCCCCAAATTCGTGTTTTTTTCCTTACATTAGGAGCTTTATAAAAAATAATTTCCGTATGCGCTCCTCTACATTATTACAATGCGATAAAATTTTAGAGAGATGTTGTGCGCGCGCCCGCCCGCAAAGGTTTCTTAAATGATTACAACCATTTTAAAATACTCCGTTTTTAGCCAGGGGTCCTATGTTCGTTTTTTCTATATAAGCTATACAACTATAATTTTAAGCTATACAACTATAATTTCAAACAGAGCTAAAGCATGAATGGATAGCTTTTTAATCAAATACAAATAGTGATATTAAATTGAGTGTGTGACATATTAAGTAGGTTTCTGAAGTAATACAACAATTCTACAATATTCCATTTGTGGAGGGGGGTCCTAAATTCGTTTTCCACACTTCTATTATCTATATAATTATAGTATGCATTTCTATACCATTCATTCGATTGTGATCAAACTGGGTCAAGTGAAATGCGCACTACCGAAAATGTTTCTAAATTAGAAAAAAACATTTTACAATATGCCGTTTCGGCCAGTGACCCTAATTTCATATTTTCTTCTAAGAGCTTTGTAACTATAATTTCAAACAAAGCTATTGCATGTGTGGAAGTAGCTGAATCCACCGGCAAATTTTTCAAATTTAGTACATCCATTGTACAATATTCCAATTAGGGCTGGGGACCCTAAATTCAATTTATTTTCTTAAATGAGCTTCATCAATATAATTTATAACGAAGATATCAACACTACCGCCCTTGAACAAATGACACATTTGTAGTAAAGCAGAGAAAACACGTTTTTACATTTTTAGTGTAGAGAGTATTTTTGTTATTTGTATAAATAAGCTTGAATTTTGTGACGCATTTTAGAATCGGAAATGACATCGAAATCGCGTTTTTTTTTTCAACTAAGAGTATTTCTTGAATAGAGTCTTATAATTTCGGAGTTGTTTTGTGTTATGTAAATACATTTTACACCAATCGATGGTTTCTCAAGTAATTAAATAACACACTTGACAGCGTAGATATTGAACTATGGTCATTTTTTACCGCTGGAATTTACGATTTATAAATTAATGAGAAACTATACAACTGGAAATCTCCTGCCAACAATGAACGTACCTATTGTGCGAGGTTTTCATGTAAAAAGATGGGAGATCCTAACGTGTGAGAATTACATTCACCATCAAAACCATTATCATTGTTGGTATCAGGTGACAATAGCCAATCGAAACATTTCTTGGCAAACATATGCAAATGCAATTCATGTTTCCAAATGACATCGTTCGGTGCAACAAATATCGTGCGCGAGAATTACATGCCAACATTTAACGTAAAGTGAAAGGCCAAATTTACCATCGTGTAGGATCTCTGATGCCAATGCCAAAGACAGATCACAAATGTCTTCAAATGATTTCATGGGGAATACTGATGAGCAAATCGATCAGCGTTGTCATATCAATACGAGCACTAAACGAGAAATTGTCGCTGCAATGCAAACGTTATTTTTGCAATACAACGAATTAATTCAAATGTATAGAGTTGCACTTGAAAAGATGCCGACTGATGAATACAAAGTCATAGTTAGAGCAGACTAAACACCTGTCGGCCAACATGAAAGACAATACAATGCACCAACAATTGATGAAGTGGCGATCATTATAGTTGGCAAAGAATTAAACTCAAGTGATATAATTCTTCATCACAGAAGTGTTGATGTTCAGCGAGTCTCAGAAATGCACCAACAATTGATGAAGTGGCGATCATTATAGTTGGCAAAGAATTTAACTCAAGTGATATAATTCTTCATCGCAGAAGTGTTGATGTTCAGCGAGTCTCAGAAACTCATCGCTCATACGTTTGATTGCAATATCCTATTTTATTTTGGCAACGAGAAGATGGATATCATTTTGACATCAAATTGAGAAATTCGAATAAGAAAGACAGTGCCATGAAATACTATTCATATCGATTGATGATTCATGAGTTGGGAATGACCTCTCGGAATCGATCTGCAAACAAACTTTTCGCTCTTGATTTGCAACGAGAAACGCCCTTTGATATCGAAGCATTAGGTACGGTACATTTTTTCAAATGAATCTTCCGAAATTGGTTCCATTGAAGTTACTATTTTAATTGGAAAATTTAAACTAGGTGATGTACTTTTGCCATTCACCCCAATGATTCCAACAGATATGCCATTTGAATTCAAACGCGTACAGTTTTTGATGCGACACGCGTCTAAAATGACTATCTAAAAAGCACAGGGACAATCGCTACAAGTTTGCGGACTAAATTTGGAAAACCCATGCTTCGACCATGGACAGATGTATGTGGCCTGCTGTCGCGTCGGAAAATCTTCTGATTTATTCGTGTATATACCAGATGGAAAAACAAGAAAAATTTTGAGTATTTAAAAGCTCTTGAAGAAACATAACATGCAAACACTTTCTTTCCTTGAGTGGCATTGCAACGCATGCCGGGTACTCGCTAGTTATATATAAAAAACATTTCATAATTTATCAGCTAAAAAAATCCCGCTAAAAGCTTAGTGATTGGAAAATATTTTCTGATGGGCTGAAACTATTCAAAATCCAAAATCTATTATAAAATTTGAATTTTTGAAAACAATATCTTCAATAGTAAATTTGGTTTTCAAAATCCTTTTAATACGGTATTTCAATTTTTTTCTTGTTATAGCTAAAACTGAAATAAACATTTTAATTTTACCACACTACACTGATGTGTCGTCTATGGTTATCTCTCATAACAATCACGGGGAACACATTTATTTAACCGCAGCTGTGACTTGTTGGTTTTAAATTTTGTTGTATTACGATTTTAAATAAAAAATATTTGGAAAAGCTTTTCAAAAAAATACTTTCTTGCAAAATGGACTTTAGCCACTTGTGAAAGTTATCTTTAAAAACATACCAGAAAGAGAGTTCCTCTACCAAACCTACCTCCCCAGCACAAAATTGGCCAAAAACTCAACATTATTTTGGCCACGTTCCTCGGCTGATTGTGCCAGTTTGGAGATTCCATCACGGTTTCCTGCGCTGCTGGCCAGAAGCAACAGGCCGGCCAGGTCTTGGGACTGAAGTAAAGACTCCTGAGCAAGGTCCATGTCGGATAGTTTGAGAGCCAAGTCAGACAGCTCCTTCCATTTGTCCACTGACTCACACTGCTTGGCTATAGAATGACCTGTTGCCAGATCCTTGAGTTGGATGGACAAATCAAACCTGTGATCTGGATCTATGGACACTGCCAAAGCCTGAGTTAGGAATCCCTGGGGATCACACAGAAGATTCTTTCAATTTTTACACAAATTTAATGCCATCAATTTCTCAATATATTTATAAGAATGTTAATAAATTACCAATATACATATCAAGTGGCTAAGTGACTGGTATATATATTAAAGTAAATTATTTTAAATACTTTAAAATTTATTAAAAAAATAATAATTGAAATCATAATTATTCCACTTTATTCAAATTGTCTTCTTTAAATGAGAAAATTAATACCTGGTAATATGTTATTATTTAAAATATTTTATAACTAAACGTTCAACAATAATGACTTAACTCTCTCTTTGTAACACTCACTAATAAAATGACAACTCAATCTCTTTACATAACTGACTACTCAAATAACAACACTCTCTCTTTACAACACTGACAAATAAAATGACAACCCACTCTCTTTTCATCACTTACAACAACAAAAAATGATGAAGAATGCTCGTTCCCAAATACCTGCTTTTCAAGAAACTGTGCAATTCTGTTCCGCTGATCAAGAGGGATTGTGGGTAGGACTTTATCAGCAGTCTGGAAGTCTTTCCTCATCACAGCTGTTTGGTACTCCAACAGAGACAGCAGAAGGCTGTAGCTGACTATGTTGAGCTCTTTGTCACCCAAATAAAGACGATTCTCCTTTTGGATATAACCCAAGAGATGCATAACTCTAGTTGAATTCAAACAAACACATCAATTAATGGGGCAGACTGTGCACACAAAAATCTAGAATATTTCTTTATCATGAAACAGAACAATGACTAATACCATTATGCATACACAAATATTTTTGATTTATTATGTTTATCGCCACTGAGCTTCATACAAAAAAAATTGAAAACAGTAAGCCTGAGTGTTATCATCAGAATAATTAAAAGTAAACAACTAACATTTTGAAGCTAAATACACAAAGTGTCATGGTTTGCTGAGAAGCTAAATACACAAAGTGTCATGGTTTGCAGAGAACTTACATACACACAGTGTCATGGTTTGCAGAGAACATAAATACACAACATGTCATGGTTTGCTGAGAAGCTAAATACACAAAGTGTCATGGTTTGCTGAGAAGCTAAATACACAAAGTGTCATGGTTTGCAGAGAACTTACATACACACAGTGTCATGGTTTGCTGAGAAGCCAAATACACAAAGTGTCACTGTTTGCTGAGAAGCTAAATACACAAAGTGTCATGGTTTGCAGAGAACCTAAATACACAAAGTATCATGGTTTGCAGAGAACCTAAATACACAAAGTATCATGGTTTGCAGAGAACTTAAATACACACATTGTCACTGTTTGCTGAGAAGCTAAATACACAAAGTATCATGGTTTACAGAGAACCTAAATACACAAAGTATCATGGTTTGCAGAGAACTTAAATACACAAAGGTCATGGTTTGCAGAGAACTTAAATACACAAAGTGTCATGGTTTGCAGAGAACTTAAATACACAAAGTGTCATGGTTTGCAGAGAACTTAAATACACAAAGTGTCATGGTTTGCAGAGAACTTAAATACACAAAGTGTCATGGTTTGCAGAGACACAAAGTGTCATGGTTTGCAGAGAACTTAAATACACAAAGTGTCATGGTTTGCAGAGAACTTAAATACACAAAGTGTCATGGTTTGCAGAGAACTTAAATACACAAAGTGTCATGGTTTGCAGAGTGCTCAAGTACACAAAGTGTCAGCAGAGTAAAGAAAGTAAAGAGAGCACTAAACAAAACAAAGATAACTAAGTCCACATTCTTTAACAGTGTATTGTAAGTAACTGACCTGTCTAAATGTGCTATTGTGATGACCTCCCCTCCTACATAATAGTTGAGTCTGTTCAAGTTGTTGATGTAGATGAAGCAGTCTCCTACCCAAGTCCCCGTGCTGACTATCTCATTCACTTCATTCAAAACCTACAAGTTAAATTTGCTTTTATTACATGAGTTCTTGTGTAATTTAAAACCAAAATGAGAAAAAGCCCCTTGTTGTGTGTATGACTGGAACCAATGGAATATGAATTACTGTGTGTCTGACTGGAACCAATGGAATATCAATTACTGTGTGTATGACTGGAACCAATGGAATATCAATTACTGTGTGTATGACTGGAACCAATGGAATATCAATTACTGTGTGTATGACTGGAACCAATGGAATATGAATTACTGTGTGTATGACTGGAACCAATGGAATATCAATTACTGTGTGTATGCCTGGAACCAATGGAATATCAATTACTGTGTGTATGACTGGAACCAATGGAATATCAATTATTGTGTGTATGACTGGAACCAATGGAATATCAATTACTGTGTGTATGCCTGGAACCAATGGAATATCAATTTCTGTGTGTATGACTGGAACCAATGGAATATCAATTATTGTGTGTATGTCTGTGGGAATTGAATATGAATTATTGTGTGTATGTCTTGATCCTCTCACACAATGGTCCAAAAAATTAAACATCATCTCATACATTGAAGTGCATAAAATTTAATTACCTCAAAAGCATCTTCAATGCCATCATCAGAGACTTTATCCAAATCATTGCTTGCATTTTGAACTGACTCTGGGTTGTATTTAAGGATGTAGAAATTCTCTTGTGTGGCTAAACAGACTAGCGAGGCATTGGCACTCCAAAATATCTGCACAATTTTGTTTTGAATGAAACAGTCATTCCTTTGAGAAAAATGGGATTCCCAATGCCTTAACATACTGCCCTTTCCTGTTCATTTGTCCTTAACAAACTGCCCTTTCCTGTTCATTTGTCCTTCCAAGCATACTGCCCTTTCCTGTTCATTTGTTCTTAACATACTGCCCTTTCCTGTTCATTTGTCCTTCCTAACATACTGCCCTTTCCTGTTCATTTGTCCTTAACATACTGCCCTTTCCTGTTCATTTGTCCTTCCTAACATACTGCCCTTTCCTGTTCATTTGTCCTTAACATACTGCCCTTTCCTGTTCATTGGTCCTTAACATACTGCCCTTTCCTGTTCATATGTCCTTAACATACTGCCCTTTCCAGTTCATTTGTCCTTAACAAACTGCCCTTTCCTGTTCATTTGTCCTTCCTAACATAATACCCTTTCCTGTTCATTTGTCCTTCTTAACAAACTGCCCCCTGTTCATGTGTCCTTCCTAACATACTGCCCTTTCCTGCTCATTAGCCCTTTGCTAAATTTGCCCTTTCCCAGCTTCTTTTCCCTCCCCTGCCACAGTGCCCTTTCCATGCACAATTTCTGGACCTTTGTGTAAATTTCAGACAGATGCTCCATAACTTATATTATATTCACATATTAAGATAGTTTGTCAAAGAGGGCAAAATGTTAAAGACAAAATCTATGAAGATGATTAAACGCACTAATCTGTAACCATTGGATAGACACCTTTGACAGCAATTAACTATTGAAGTAAAATGTTACATAAACATGTCTAGCAATACTCATTCATAATAAAGACTCACATGTTTGGGACTAATTTCAATTCTCCTGATCAGATTCAGACTTTCCCAGTCATAAAAGACTAAACTGTTTGTTGACTTCACACCCAGCAATTGATCACCAAATATTCCTAAAAGTAATTAACATGGACACTTGAAACAGGGGCATACATAATAAATATACTTGCCGACTATCAAAGTCATCAATAATTTTATTTGTTTTCAAAGTCACCAAACTTGATCAGTGCAATTGTAAATAAAAGCAGTTAAATAAACAGATGATTTGTTTAAATTAGGTATTAGCATTGTTGTAGACCAAAAAGGTGTAAACAAAAATATTTCCAAACAGCTTCAACCAGCCAAACAATATGCCACTCCATTCTACAATACAAAATGCACCGTATTGGGTGATGTATTAATTTCTCCTTGGTTTTAATGTCAAACATGTAATACCAATGTTTAGTGTATTTAATTAACAGTTTGGGAATATTTGTTATGTTTGGTTACCTTCAGCTACAAACGAGGGCTTGAAAGATTTGTTCTCTTTGAAGTTCTTGAACACTTTGATAAATGTCCCATCCATGGTCGCATACATTGACGAGTCACTACTCCAAACAAACTCCAGGCCAGGGCCGTAACTCTTGCTCCTCAGGGCCATGGCTGTGTAAATGATATATTCACCATCTCCACTAACCACAACAAACCTGAGGAGAATTTGGTTCGATATGGCTTTTAAGGTTTACATAGGACTTGTGTCATGAAAAATGGTTTGTTGATACAAAACTCAAAGTCTATTGTTATATGTCAGTCATTAATTACAGAAAATAGTTCCAAAAAATATGAATTTATAATTTATAAAATGTCTCTCCCTTTTATGAATGAAAATATATATATAATATATATACATTTACATACTTTAAAGTCTATTGTGATATGCCGGTGATTAAGTACAGAAAATAGTTCCAAAAAACATGAAATTTACAGAAAATCGTCTCTCCTTTTTTGAATATATAAATATTTATGTATACATTGAAAATCATTTAACACAAAAATGAGGGGACCAAAATGCATCCAAAAAAAAATGTACTCAACAAAATTACATTTATAAGAGCACGTCATATTAGATACACTATTGACATTTCAAATTATTATACATTTTGTACATACTTATGTATGTATGCATTTAATACAAAAACAACAAAATGAATAAAAATATTATATTTTCGATTTTTTTTTATTTTGCACTGGTTTTTTTAGCATCAAATTGTCAACAAATTTTTTGATATCGTCCATTGTATTATTCATTTCGAGTTAGCCTTCTTTCACATGAGACACAACCTCTTTTTTATTTCAGACCCCTCAACATTCTCGCCGGCAGATGTATGTATTCTCTACTTTCCTAGAAGCAAAATTTTTTCGAGGTAAGCGGTTTTTTAAAAGAAAAAAATGTACTGAGTATTTTGTCGGAACTGCATTGTTATTTTGTGTTAACCAATTTTTCATGCTAAGCGTTTTCGCGTTTCACGTATTTCACTGTATATATAAGATATAAAAAGAATAATATATATATAAAGAATTTGTGAAGTATTTCCTCAATGTTCATAATCAGCAACAACCAGGGAAAGATGCAGCTTGTCACAGTGTAAGTCCTAGAGAGACACCCAAGCAGTTGGACAAGCAGTGATCAGCTATGACGACAGAGGAACATCCATGCATTGGTGCAGTGACAAAGATCTTCGTTGTGAGCAGCAGAGACAGAGCCTTATGGATGTTGGTTGGGGGGGGGGGGGGGGGGGTAGCTGGCGAACTAGAGAAATTTTCATTTTATCTTCTAGCCAGATGGCAGTTATGTTATCTTCATGCTTTTGTTATTGATTTAATATAACAAAAAAAATAGAGGTTCCAAATCAATTTGGAGCAACACTACGTCACTAGTTTGATGTTTGATGATGTTATAGACCTCTGGATAAAACTGGACCTCTTGCACATTTTCCACAGACCTAAAGAAACCAACGTCCCATCCAACTACCTAACAAGAATAAATACAGACATGAAAGTAATAGTTGGCATTCTAATGATTCCAAGCTCCCACCTAAGACATACACACAAACCTTCCATTTGGACTGTGTGATATAGAGTGGGGATAGATTTCACAACTTCCTAAGTCCTTGATTGCCACAGCCAGTCTCTCCCCATCTTTAATCTCTCTGTCCCCAATGGCCTTGGTGTTGGCCTGTTGAATCTCCATCTGCTTGGCCCAAAGAATTTTTCCAGATGAGTCCATTGATATTGCGGGCTCATCTCTTCCAATCTATAACAAAACGCAACATTCTTATACTAACAGTAGTTCAAACAATTATTTAGCAATTGACATCCAATAGCCCATTAACAAAATGTTATCTAAGGATATAAAATTCTTTCTAGTTTTGAAATAACATTCTTTTCTATCACATAAACTTTTTAGAAACATTTTAAATTATTCCTTATTTCCAAACTGCCATGGTCCGGTCTCAAGAAGACCTGTCGTCTGGGCTGTGTGGAGGTGCGTCGGGGAGGGCTCACGCTCGGCGGCCCGTCAACGCCATTTCCTAATGAACATATTTACTAAGTGACAGCTGTCTGATGTGGTAACTGATCATATTTACTTTGTTCAGAAAGTGAGGCTGTCTGATGTGGTAACTGAACATATTAGCTTTGTTTAGTAAGTGAGAGCTGTCTGTTGTGTTAAATAGTGGTGTTTTACCCTTATTGCCAAACTGCCATCATCACAAGCCATAGCCAGTGCATTAGTTTTCTTCTGACATGCAATCATCCACACTCTCTCAAGGCCAAAGTTCAATGTTTTCTCCAGTTTGTAAGTGCTAGAATGCCACATTCGTAATGTCCCTGCCAAAGATTAAAAAAACGAAAAAAGTGTTGATTACAGCTTTAGGATTTTAGTTATTTTTGTATAACATTCTTAGCTAATTCACGTATATGACCTCTTTAGCTCATTCTTGGTGATGGAGTCGGTGACCTGTTTTGAGTGAGAAGTCATTTTTATACATCTGCTAAGAAAATATGTTGGGAATCGCAGGGAGGGGTGGATTGTTAAAATGTCATTAAAGATCTTTAAAAAGAAAGAGCTTCTTTGTTTTCTGCAAAGAGCCACGTATAGTTGATTGCCCAGTACTGCTACATTAGCTAACTCTAATATAAAATAAAAATTAACAAAAGCTGTACCATAATAAAATAAATAAAAACATAGAACTACCATTTAAATTTATTTGAACCATGAAAAATATTTTTTCTTTGTAAAATTATTATATGTCATTTATTGTCTTATTATGCTCAAATAAAAATACATTTATTTTTCAGATTCTTTTCTTTACCATCTTCTCCTAACTAATGTTTGATAATTGTTCTAACAATTTTACAGACAAATCAGCTTTATACTTTAAATAAAAAGGTTACTTTTTCTAGTACTAGTCTAATAGTCTAAAATGCCTCATTCAATAGAAACTACCGGTATATCATCTTTTCATGTTTCATCAAAACATGTTATAAATCTGGCTCTTACCATCACAGCCAGCTGATAAAATCAGGGGGAGGGAAGCATGGAAGACAACTGTATTGACATCTTTGGAGTGCCCTTGTAAAACATGGACACATGATTTGTTCTGAAAATAGGGTTACGGTTACAAGGTTACGCAGATGGTCATTTATTTTTATTGCTCTAAAAAAATTAGTCACTTATTAAAAGTTTTCATGTGGAACTATTACAGCATTATTTCAAACAAAGGACAGAAGCATATGTTTTCTATCTTACAACATGTTTAAAAGTCACACATTACTTGATAATCCCATATCCTGACCATCCCACCATCTTCACCCGTGGCCATGTACGGCTTGTCATTGCCAGGATGGTAGTCCACGCAGTTAACTCCTTTCTCATGTTTAAGTGAGAAGTTGGGAACTTGTGTCCCCAGCTGCCAGACCTGTTGTAAACACAAGAGACAAAAATGAAATCTAATTCAAACAGCAGCACAGTGATTATAATGGGTCATTGACGATCATTTTAAAAACACAATAGAACCTTTGACTTTTATGACATGTACACAGCCAGGATAGACATAGATTTTTCTCAATGTATTTTCTTGACATTTAGTACATTTCAGATTATTATGCTTTAAAAATGTACAATTATTTTTTTCCACTGTGATGGTATGATATTCACTGTCAAAGTATGATAATCACTGTTAAGGTATGATAATCACAGCGTTAAGTGTCAATGTTTTTAGAGCAGGAGTTGTGAGCTTTAGTAGTATTACTATTATTATGTCTAAATAATGCAAATGGTTTAAAATGGCCATGATAATAAGCAAGTGTAGTGTGTGTATTAGTTGTGAGACAATGAGATTATGAGTTAGTCAATGACTGCAGTGTGTGTATAGTTGTGTGACAGTGAGATTATGAGTTAGTCAATGACTCTAGTGTGTTGACAGTTCTCGTTAGTCCCAGCGTGTGTTCAGAGTCCTCATAGTTATAAAGTTGAGCAGTGTTCCTGAATGTCGATGAGAGTGACTGACTGTGGTGAGTTCAAGTGATAATGTCCACCATTGGTAATAAAAATGTTCATTATGTGTAACTTGGTGTGTTGAGCACGGTTTCATGATGAAATAAAACAGTAGATATTGAATAACAACAGTGCTGTTGCTGCTTTTAAATCAGGTTGTTGGTGTTAATCTAAGAGAGAGGGGGGTGGGGTCTTACAGTTATTGACACTTTAGACCACGGAGCCAAAGTAATAATTATGGGGTCGGTCAGAGGCTCAATGACAGACATTTATCCCCCCACCTTAACGGTCTTGTCCAGTGACGCTGTGGCAAATTGGTTGTTGTCTTTTGGGTTGATGACAACTTGCATGACGACATATGTATGACCTCTGTACTCCTTTGTTTTCTCCCATTTCTTCTCCCAGTTCCAAAGTCTGATGATTCCGTCATCTGTTAAGGCAATGTAAATTATTTCGTCATTGCTGAAAGTTTAGGTAAAATTATTTGGACATCCTCAGTCCACATAGACATCCTTGGTCTACATGGACAAAATAGAGTAGCCTCCAATTCAATAAAATAATCAAGATGAGTGAAAAGTAACTGCAATAAGAGGATGTGATATTTTTTTTTTATTAATGTGAACATGGAACTAATAAAAAATAGATAAGACCTTACAGAGGAAGGTATATTTAGAACAAACTGAAATAAAACTATAAAATACAATCTAAATATAATTTGCCATGTTGCAAAATATGCTAATGTAAATAGAATGGGATTTATGAAGATTCAATTTCAATTTGATAACGTCAGTCAATTATTTAAATTTAAAACCCATTGTTTGATCTAAGTATGCTTTTGTTTCATGATTCTTTAAAATTTATACTTGGAATATATTCTGCATAGTTTTGTGGTGTTTTAAACTGAAGCCCTAAGTTTTAACATCAAAAACAAAGTCCATTTTACCTTCATGCATGAAACAACAATGTGTGTAAATATACAGTTAAGCTTAAATAATGATTACACAGCATACAAACGTTTTAGCAAATGCCACCATCAGTACAACAAAAAATATAAAATTTCATATAAATTAAATTTACATAATATATAGATATACCAATGTTCCCTCTCAGGTTTGTTTGTTCCTGTGCAAAATCATAAAGTTGTGTGCAAATTTTTACAGCATCAATTTTTTTGTGCGCAAAATTTACAGCCTACAGACACAAACACAGACTTAAGTGGAAATGCCACCATCAGTACAACAAAAATATAAAATTTCATATAAATTAAATTTACATAATATATAGATATACCAATGTTCCCTCTCAGGTTTGTTTGTTCCTGTGCAAAATCATAAAGTTGTGTGCAAATTTTTACAGCATCAATTTTTTTGTGCGCAAAATTTACAGCCTACAGACACAAACACAGACTTAAGTGGAAATTAGCTGCGCTGTACTCAAAGCTTAAAGGGAACATTGATATATACATACATATGTATTCTACCTAACTGTGTAAGAAAACAATAAGAATGGGCACAAGTCCCTAACGAAAACAAAGATCAGAAGAACAGAGAGGAAAGGGGTGGAAATACAATATAACAAACAGGAAAAAAAACATTGCAGCCATGTAAATTGTGAATTTGGTTTATACCAAAATTTGTTATTAATTTATTTTCCATTTAAATTCTATCAGATGTATCACTTGCATACAATATACCAGTAACTCCAATGTCTAATATTTCTTCAGAACATCATCATCCATCCTAATCCCTGTGGCACTACAGCCCATGTAAGACTGTAGCATGCCTTACCACTTCCTTCCACTCATGCATGAACAAAGTCCATTTTACCTTCAGCACAATTTCCAATATTCTCTTTTGAGCCTTCAATATCACAGAGAACTCAATGGATATTTACAACCAATAATCTCTTTGCTCCTTTAAAAATCACAGAGAACTCAATGGATTTTTACCGCAATACTCTCTTAGCTCCTTGAATATCACAGAGAACTCAATGGATTTTTACAACCAATAATCTCTTAGCGCCTTGAAGATCACAGAGAACTCAATTGATATTTAAAACCTTGCTTCCAACTTTTTCAGTCAGTTTTTCATTAAATTTCTCAACGGCTTTGAAGAAAATTGCACTTACCTCCACAGGATAAAATAAAGGGCTGTGTGGGGTGGACGGCTATGGACCTTATGAAATCTAAATGGGCCCCGAAATGTGTGACGTGTTCAAGTGTGTTGTAGTTAAAAACTCTGATCAGTGAGTCATCCTAGAGAAACAATGAGGCAAATAATTGTAACACACTTTGAACCATCAGTACTTAATTACTTCATCAACCATAACATGCCAAATGATGGAGTTTTAAATGCTTAACTACTGAGACGTTAACAAAACTTTTGATATCATTTATAAATGAGGGACCCCCCTGGAGACCTTGACTTCTGCAGAATCCAATCTGTGCACATTTCCCAAATGCCTGGTGGTGAAAGTTTATTGTTAAAATCTGCTCTATAGATAAAAGCTGGATGATTTAATTTTATAAAGTAGGTAATGGGAAGTCTCAACGATATATGCTACAAAAGTATTTAAACATTTGTAAACAAATACAGAGATTAATTTACAAATGGTAAAAACCACTTACTGAACCTGTGATGACCCAATTTTTTCGGGCTACAAATTTAGCAACTCTGACTGGCAGATTACTGACTTCTAAAGTTTTGATAACTTGCTGAAAATTAAAAATGTTAAGGTATACATTTTGGATACTTTTAGCATCATGTGAAATGTTAGCATTTGTGTGAATTTTAACCAAACTAAGTGAAATTATAGCAATTTATCAAAAAACTCTGAAATTTGGCATTAAAATTAAAAAAAAAAAAATATTTTAAGAAAAACACATGCAATAAATAAGGTTTAAATATAGCAGGACTCCTAAATTCCAACTCTAGACATTCCACAGGTAACGGAAATTAAACATAATCTTTGCACCAAATCGTTAAGACCATTAATTCTTCACAATAACAAAGCCTGTTGCATATTATGTAATTTTACTCCTGATCAAATAGAGGGTCAGGTTGCAGACTGATTACCTTAGTTTCTATGTTCCAGATATATGCAAGGCCATTGTATAGACTTGTTAGCATCCATGGCTCAGTAGGGTGTAGTTCTACACTCTTGACTCTTTCTGACCTGGACAGTAGCCGCCTTTTAACACTTAACTTCTGTGACTAGGTAGTATATAATATATGCTTAGCTTACAATATGATAATGGAAGTCAGATCATCTTTAAATTGTTATAACGTATTTCCCTGATACAAACTTCAAATATTCATACAAATATATTTAAAGGAAGTATTCTTTACATTTTCAAACTAAAAATCTTTATAAAAATATAAAAACTTAAAAAAATAACAAACAGCTCTCCTTAATATAATAAATAATAATAAAACACTTGCTATTTAAAAAAGAAAAAAAGAGACCAATCCTCTTGATCAAATTAAATTTTATAAAAAGAAACTTTTAATTCAGAAATGTTCACGAAACCATTTTATTATTACCATAGTTATAATTAGATTAATTTATAGCCATAGCCCATTGAATAGATAAATAGTGCCTAAAAATATCACATTTCTAAAATGACTTTAAAAAGTAAAGTAACCTCCCACAAAAATAACAACCTCCCCCACACCCTCTCTCCTTTTTGCTGGATTCTAATGAATTTTTGCACCTTCTGGAGTCAAAATTAATGGTCTATAAAATTTCAGCTTCCTTAGTTTATACATCAGTTAAAATTTAATTTTAGATAGAGATCAACAGAAATATTAAGTAGCTAAAGTAAAAAAGATTTATTTTATGAAATTCATTATTTTGTTGCTTGCCTGGACCTATGTTGTCTGTACAGGAGCAATAAAGATGGGAAATTTTCTTTGAGGTTTACCCAAATTAGTTTTCAGCATGTGTTTTTCCACAGAGAGATCTCTGATATTTGAAGCCCTTAGTAACCCTACTATGCCCACTTTGTTTCTAGGGTTTAATTTACAACTATATTTGTATAACTTTTATTTAATCCTTATACCCCAGTATGGATACAGATAAATAAATATAAAATTACTGTGGGCAGTATGACAATGGTGGATCAATAGATTGAAAATAACTTTAAAACGTAAATTTATAAATGAAACCATAGAAAAAAAGCAACCAAAAAACTATAAACATTTCAATTATTGCAAATGTTTACGCAAAAATTAAAAAGAATTGAAACCAAGGATCAGAAGCAGAAAATATTTCCCACATAAGAAATATACATCGTACTAACTCAACAACAACCTGTCCCATGACAGGATAAAGGGGGAGGGTTGAGCATGGGGACCTAGCACCCCCATCCCATATATACTTCTGCAGCATAATCAATAACAAAGGAAAATTCGAACACAGTTAGAATCAGGGGCAAAGTAGACCGGGTCAATGGACTTTTGAAGGGAGGCGACCAAGGCCCCAAGGAAACTCTTCACACAAAGAGAAAGAGAAGATAAGTTGATGCCAAAGTAATGGATCTCAGGTGGATGCTGGGATGTTGGCACATTCATCAGACTGGAAAGCTACAATCTGAGCTTCATGGATACAACAAAGCATTATAGAGTGAAAGTAGAAAGCAATAGCTGAATTTAGAAAAAGTCATCTAGTCAAGATTAAAAGAAGGATCCTCAGGGATAACAAAGCAAACCTAATCCTAAAGTGGGAACAAGTCTTCAAACAAGCTCAATGCTAGGATAAATTCCAAGTTTTCAAAAGTATCCGTTTTGATTGAATCCAATGGACACAATTGATGTAAAGATCAATAATGGAAAATCAGAGATCGACCAGCCTGGGTATTCACACCAAGTTTAAAAGCAATGGATGCTGGCAGTTTTCCACACTTAAGTCCTTCAAAGGATCCATAGAATCTTTGCACCAAAGACAAAATTCAATGGGTGACACAACAATTGCAGAAATGATATAGTGCATCAAAGGATATATCTTGGTCATGCTAGCAGAATGCCAGCAAGTACATTACCTAGGACATCCCTAAGATAGACCACCCAGGAAGAACAAAACCCCCAGAAAATTAGAAAATATAGAAAGATCTACCAAATAGAAACCTGGCGCTCTTTCAAGAACAAGTCAGTTAAAAAAATACTGAATGAATGAATTATTGTACCATCTCTTCTAAAGAATTAAAATGGACAATATCACATTAACACATTGTGTTAGAGCAGTGGTTCTCAACCTTTCTAATGCCATGACCCCTTGATACAGTTCCCACAGGTTGAGAACCCCTGTGTTAGAGCCTCTTAATATCAGATTGGTATGTAATATTCTAAATTCATAAGAAAAGTACTTTCTCAATAGAAATTCATTTAATGTATATAGATTTTTAAAAATCATTTTGTTTATTCCAGTCTTTTTCCTATTTATAACCTAATCAAAAGTCCAATGAAAGAAGATATGAAGACAAATGATAACTGAGATAATCTTTTAACCCAAACTACCAATATTTTATTAATAAATAGTAATATAACTATAAATAAACAAATATGCAAGTACCATACTGTCATTAGTAGTAAAAGTGTGTGCACAACATACAGCTTTTTTCTAGGCAGAATACAAATGATATTACACTGGCTTTTTCAATAATGATGACCTCAAAGAACAATCATAACATTTGGAGCTGCAAAAAGAAAATGGAGCAATGATTGTCAGTAAAAAATGTAATTAAAAGAAAAGTCATTTTTCAAAGGAATATACAAATTTTGTGTAGAAATCATTTGCTTTATGATGTTATTGGTCTGATTCTGAGTTACTTATGAATGAGTGAAATCAGAATTAGACCTATCTAAATGTTAATGCAGCCATCCAAAACTTCGGTGGCTTAGACTATTGCCAGAGGCAGTGATAAATCACACAGACAGGTAAATCATACATGTGTATCAATTCAATGGATTGTCTAAGACAATAGTTTTTAACCGTTATTTAGTCACAGACCCCGAAGACAATCTGTGAAAGTTACAGAACCTCTTTTAAGAAAAATATATTTTTGTTAAACTTTGTATGTACTGGTAATGAATTATTGTAAGCCAACTGAAAATAAATTTCCTTAATTAGTGAGTATTATTGTGATATAAACAAAAGATAATAATTGATGGACTGCATTCAAATTGCGTAAATGAAATATAAGAACAAGGTATTGCTTTCTGATGAAGGCTCTAAGCCGAAACGTCAAAATCTTTTGTCTATGAATTCAAGTTTAGCATACCTTGTTCTTATATTCGATATAAACAAAGCATGATTTAATTAAACAACCTTAACAAAACATATTTCTAAATTTTATTTATTGAAAAGTTAACACAAGATGGACTACATGAGCAAGGTCAGCGTTTCAAGTGTGAAAGAAGCAGTAAATGGCTCTATGCCGGATTGTGTGTTCATCATGTTACACAGCATACAGCACAATGACTGACTGTGCATATGTAACTGGTAGCAGGGGTTACCCAAAATGATTAGACTTCAGTGGGCCCTATGCAGTGGCAGGGTAAACATTTTCTTTCAATTCTCAGGAGGAAACCACTCTTTAAATATAAGTAAAAAATGTTTATGAAAAAATGGGGGCTTCACTCATCCACAGAAACTCAGGGGAACCGTAGAGTGAAAGAAAAAAAAAAAATTTAGAGGGGGGGGGGGGGTGTTTCAGTAACAAAATAAATAAAATAATAGCAAAAATCATTTGGTAGTATTATAATTATAATACCTTATCATTATATTGACAAACAATAAAAAAAAGTTTGCGATTGTTATAAATTTTAAGATAATGATCAGCTTAATTAAGCAAAGGCTGCGACTATTGGTAGTAAACTACAGAGCTATTGGTACTCTACTACTAGTAGCTTCTAGGCGGCTATTGGTAGTTTACTATCAAAAACTACTAATTGATGTATAGTAACTATTTTTTTAAATTACAACACTGAAATCACTCTTATTCTTAATTATGTGAAGCTCCGACTTTGATTCACCAATAATGATAAAAAATGTTGCCAAAAAAACGTGTGTCTACGTTTTAGACTGGTCGTGGTGCACTTTCAAATTTATTTTTTGTGTCTAGTCTTATAATTTTGCTCCAAATCTGATTTTCAAGACATAATAATACACTTACTTTTCATTGTTGGTATATATTTTATTCTTATGTATCTCGCTCTATGTTTTCATCGTATTATGTGCTGTTAAAAATATTGATTCTTCATAGCATTAAAAAATAAATAGTACAAAGCATTTCCTAGATGTTAAATTAATCTTTGTAATAAATGAACAATCAACCTAACAATGACCCAATTGAACAAAAATGCTTGTTAAGCCTCTCTCCCGCCAGAAAATCAATAATGGGGGAGGGGGTTGGGTCACATTACCATGTTCATAAAAAAGAGATTGGCCAAAGCCTCAGTTGTCCTTTTTAAGCCTAATCGCGTTATTATACTGTTTCATTTAACTAAAGTAACAAGTTTTTTTTATATGCACTAAAACTATTATTATGGTAATTGTAGTCATTGTAGACATATTATTTAGGCCTATATTTTAATTCATAATTTTAATCATAATAATTAGCAGACAGAAAATGTTTATAATAAAATAATTTCTCAACGTCTGCTGGATTTAATTTTTTAAATTTAGATTTGCGCATATCCACTTTGCAAAAAAGAACCTGGCTATAATTTTTTCAGACTATGATCCCCTTCCCCCCAGTATCATTTATCAGTCCATCTATATTAGGTCTATATTATACACGTAACAATATAGAACTCTTATTTATAAAGATATCATTTTCAAACTGTTATAAAGTTTTGATGGCATTTTCCAAATCTTTGAAAGTATCAAAATAACATAATAAAGATAAAATTCTTTCAGGATTCATTATCTGTGTTGTCACTATCATGAACTAGTAATAAATGAACGGGGCAATACTACACCAGCATCACTGAAAGCAGATTTTTAAAAATCTGGTTTTGGTTTGATTGGCTGGACTACCAATAACTCTCTAGAAGCTATTGGTATTTTACTAAAAATAACTTCACCAATAGACACTTCCTTAAGCAAATGTTACAGTTTTATTTGAATTTCACTAACCCCAATCATGGAACCAGGATGTCCTCTGATCTGAAATTTGATCATTTGTTTGTTGATGTTACCTTTTTACTTTATTTAATTTATTGAGTTTCAAATATTTTACTTTAAAACTTTAGGCCTATCTGACCTTAAATATGTAACGAGATCCAGCAGAGGCTGGGTTTATATAGTAGACATATGGCCTATGACAACTATGAGAATGTAGGCTTAAGCCTCATTACTCCATTATTAGGTAATCTACCACCAATCAAGTTGTCCCGGTGGGAAGGGCTATTTAAAAAAATATTCTCATATTGAGGTCCGTTAATGGTTTCGCTCCCGTATAAAGTTATTTAGCACAATACATTTAAATAATTATAACTACTAAGTTACCAATAGGGCAGGAAGAAAAAGAAAAGAGACTACAATAGTGCCGATGCACAAAGTGTTTGATACTGATCAGATACGAAAAGAAGTATGGTGGCTGTCAACATTAATGCCAAATTTGTCAGACCCTAATTCAGCATTACGATGGTGCATCAACAAAATTGTGTTGATCCAGATCAAGCTGATGTCCACACACACAATGTTGAAAACATGTGGATGCGCGCAAAGCGCAAACCGAAAAGACAGTTTGGCACAAGCCGGTCTTTTCCCTCCATAAATATATGAATTCATGTTCCGCATCCGTTTTTGTGGAAATGATTTTATTTTTAAAAACTTCATTTTCACCTTGAAGGCGAACTATGCATAATTCCATTTTCACATATTAAATTGTTTAAATTCTTCTGTTTTAGTTTTTCTATTTTTTAAAATTGTCTTGTGTTATTTGTATTAAATATATATGTGCTGGAATGAATAGGTACAATCGATGTTATAGTTATATAAATAATATAAGTATAAGAATAACAATGTCATAAAAATAATATAAAAATAATTGTTTAAATAGCCTTTCCAACCGGAACAACTGGATTTTTTTCTTAGCCAACACTCAAGTGGTAGATAACCCAATAATAAATAATTACTTAGAACCAAGATTTTAATGAATTTATGACTAAGACAATGGTAGATTTGGAGCGATAGCACCGTGGCCGCCATCTAAATCTTGGTTGCAGCAACCCACAAACTTATGTCCTAAGTCATACTAAATGTATCCATAAACCTAACCTGAACCTTAATTCTAACCCTAAACTGGGACACTATCGGCTATGGGAAACAGTTCAGTGCCAGTGTTTTTTTTATGTTCAACAGTGGACACCACATTTAACAAAACAGAAAGTAAGTAACTTACTCACTGAGTAACAGTGTTGTAGGCACCAAGGCCTTGGTTAAAAAATTATATAATTTGTTAGTCAAGTCTCAACAGTAAAATCTTTATTTTAAAAAGTCAAACAAAAAGAGTTTCAGTTGTCTGTGTCTTGAATACTTAACTCACAGAACAGACGCCTACTGTTATATTATAGTTTTAGAATTATATTTGGCGGAATTGAGCTTGCTTAGTTAGTTAGTTATTATGGCCTACAAATTAATAAGACGGTTAACTTAGTATTACCTCAAATTTTATTTATTTATAATTCCGATTATAAATTACAGACTAGTTCCTTATCACTATCGTGTTTTATGACTATTACGGTATTATTAGTTATCCCTCCTCTTCTGTATCGGAAAGTTCATTTTTCTTTTTTAGTTTTCTTTCGCATTATTCATGTGTAACTATTGATAATTTTAAACAAATCTGAAACTGGCGTCTCTCAAGTGTAACAAAAATATAGAACCGTACCTACATAAACATCCTAAAAGAAAGAAGGTTGTTACAGTAGGCACCCTTTTCTTCAAAGGTGTCGCAAAGGGAATCTATGGATGGCCTCAAATTCAATGACAACCCCTTGCCAATGTATATTAAAATTTTCTTTTTCTATTATCATCTGTCATGATATGTCCGCATGTACTACTGGAAGGCGTCGCGTTGACGTACAGTTAGCGATCCGCCTCAACGCACGAAGTCTGCTCAAGATTCATGTAATGCAGATGTACCCGAACTTTTCACTTTGGCGGAAAAGTTTCAAGATTGCACAAGTGACCAGTGCCAGATTTATCAATTATATCTTCTTTTTATTGGACCATAAATATTTGTAATTGTACGTACTGGCAACGCAAGGCTGGCGGACCCGGCGCAGTTCCACGGACCAGCATTTGGGGAACGCTTATATAAGTGACTTGTGTCCACAATACAGGCGATTGATCTCCGGTGTGGTCTTCCTCCGGCCCTGAAACCGGAGTGCCTGTTATTGTAGGCTTGCCTTGAAGGCTGATCGCCATGCATTGTAACATGATAGCCAACCCCATCACTTGGCTGTCTGGCCTTCTGACTGACCACATTGGTGCATTTACTTTATTTCTTTAAGCGAAATGTGGTCCCTTCTCATTTTACCAGCCTCTCACCTTAAATATCTCATCTTGAGCCACTGAAGAGTTTTTCCTCAAGAAATTATTCAAAGCCCAGATCTTACACTGACAATTAGGCTTTTTTGACTGGGTGCTCAAACGTTTTAAACAAGGGGCCATGCTTGGCCCGTGAACAGAGTTTAAGAACCCCACGCTTCATAGGATTACTATGTCTCTATGACTATGTCTTTATAAATGTATGACTGTGTCTCTATGACTAGGTCTCTATGGGCGTCTCCTTATGATTATGCCTCTATGACTATGTCTCTATGACTGTGTATCTATGACTGTGTCTTCATGACTGTGTCTCCATGACTGTATATCTATGACTTTGTCTCTGTGAATGTGTCTCTAATCACAGGTATTCAGAATAAACAGACATGTCTAAAAGCTCTACACATGCTATTACAATAATATAGTAACATAACTCCATGCGACAATGTAATCATTGCCCATCAAAAGATACAAATAAATGTAAGGTGAAGTAAAACATAACTTTGCTGTAGCAACCTACCATGCTGTAGTAACCTACCATGCTGTAGCAACCTACCATGCTGTAGCAACCTACCATGCTGTAGCAACCTACCATGCTGTAGCAACCTACAATGTTGTAGCAACCTACCATGCTGTATAACTCGTATCAGTTTGGGTCACAAACTCAGGATCTAGGTCCGAAAAAATATACAATGGATGTGTAGACAAAGAATAAACAATGGCTATCTAGATAAACCACGTTACCAAACTGTGACAAAGTGAGACAAGTTTTTCTAGGATATTTCACATTAAAAAAAACAGGAAAAAAAAAAGGGGGGGGGGGTTCTGGTACACTTAATTCTGGGATTCTTAAACAACTTGAAACTGATGGACTGGACATAATGATGAGCCGAGCTCCTACAGATTACGATAATGCTGCCACAATGTCCAGAATGTATAGAGGTGTATAAGTCGAACCAAAAGGCTAGAACAAGAAAGTTTTTTTTTCTTTTTTTTTAAATGGATCTGTGTAGGGTTGTCAAGAGGAATTGAAGCGCCCAGACCGAAGCCTGAAAATGCCGCTCCTCACAATATAGAAAAATGGCTCCCCCGAAGCGGAAAAAAAAGGATTTTGGTGCCCGTTTATTTGTGAAGTACATGTGATAAAATAACACTGTTACGTTGAAACTGAACCATGTGTAACATTCTTTGTTACTCTTGAGAAAATGATTTATTTCTTTTCTGCTTCAAATGATAATAAATTATAATGAAATAATATAATATATTATCAGGAAGATATCTATACACCAGGTAGATATCTATTCATCAGGAAGATATTCTTACGGGAATGCCAATGTCTGAAAAAATATTTTTTCTAACAACATGTCTCTCGAAAATCATATCTCTCACATTTGTCGCTCTGCATACACCGCTATCTGTCAGATCAGCTCCATCTGCCACTACGTCAGAGTCAGTGCAACAAAAACCCTAGTCTGTGTTCTTGTTCTCTCTTGTCTTGACTAGTGCGACTCTCTTCTGTTATGTTCACCAAAACTCTTCATAGAAAAACTACAAAAGGTTCAAAACTCAGCGCTAGGCTAGTTCTAAAGGTAAAAAAAGCGTGATCACGTAACACCACTTCTCCATTCACTTCATTGGCTCCCTGTACAAGCACGTATTGTGCCCCCAAAAATGGAATTCTCCCTTACTACACATGCGCAATATACCGACCATCCAGGCCTTCAAAATTGCACCCAAAACACATCTCTTTAAACTCTACTATCTCGTCTGAGTCACTCCGTTCTCTTACCAACAAATGATGCTGCTGGGCGCCGTCCATGGCTTGTCATGTAAAAGTTGGGTGGGGGAGGAGAATATACATTTGTTTTTGTTTTGTTTTTATACAGCTGTTTTTAAATTAAATAAATATATGTTATTTTTTAATGCCATGATTATGTGTGGTAATATTTTTTATGTACAGCGCTGTGAGCCCAGCCCTTTGGCTGCGGTACCGTGCTATATAAAAAGACTGTTATAACAATAATAATAATAAATATTAAGAGAATGTTGCACATGTACCTTTCTTATTTAGATACCTCTTTAATTTTTAAAAATATTTTAGAGTTTTTTATAACCCTGAAGACAATTTCCAATTGTAAGGAATAATTGTGGGTATAATTTGATTAGAATAAGGGCAGGTATAATTTGTTTGGAATAAGTGTAGGTATAATTTGATAAGTATACTATACCACAAAGCAGGATAGTGTTAATAATAAAAAAATAAATATATAAATATTATGTTGATTTGTTTATTTTATTTTTGTTTATTTCTCGTAAAATAAAACTAATGGAATTGGAGAGTGATGCTTTTCAATGTTTATGAGGATACTGGCTTACTTTGAAAGAGGGGTGGTAAATGTTTAAGGGGACACCGGTGGACTTTGAGAGAGGGGTGGTAAATGTTTAAGGGGACAACGGTGGACTTTGGGAGAGGGGTGGTAAATGTTTAAGGGGATACCGGTGGACTTTGAGAGAGGGGTGTTAAATGTTTATGAGGTCATCTCAAATCGTGACTGTGTCACAGACGTCAAATTTAGTTTTAAAAGTTGAAATAGGTTGGAAAGTTAAGAAAACAACGCAACATACACAAGCAAGATTTTACAATAAAATTTAAAGGGTGGCTCAAATGTCTCACAGCTTTTTCTATGATTTAAAAAAAAACAACAACCTTATTTATTAAATAAATCACCTACTTACATTATTTGCTTAATACATAAAGTATTTTTAAATAACTAATGTACTTCTTAAAGTTATCTTTTCCACGCAGTTTTCCAATTCTATAACAATAGATTGCACTCATAACACAAAAATTGGTGTCTCAAATGTTCAACCTTTTTCTTGGTTTTAGTTTACCCGCTTATTATAATTGAAGTTTTCTCTTCTCATCAGCGCTGGGTTTAAGGTTACAAAACACATACGAAGCAAAATTATGTGAATAGTAATTATACAATAATCAACACAAAATATGTTGACTCAAATGTTATTATTGTTTATAAGTAAATTGGAACCGCTGATCAGAAAAATGGCACCGCTTTTTTTCCTACCAGCTTTAGTTAGTGAGGTTTTGAGCATATTTCATCTTAAGCACGGAGCATAAGAATAATTGTTTCAACAAACTGTGCTACAAGAATGCGTCTTAATGAAAGGGCTGCGTTCAAAGCTGTGTGAGGGAAAAAGAAGAACAAGGTATGCTACAAGAATCTTTGCTTATTTTACACCAAAAGAAAACATTAACTGAATCTTTTGAGTCTCAGATAAGATGTTCCAGGATATTCCATAATAAGATTCCAGCAAAAATTTTCATCATTTTTGCATCTTTTCTTCATTGGTACTTGGCTGCTGTTGCAAGTGTATGTCTTGCATTGAAATCTTTCATTTTACTCTTCCCATAATGTGCTCCGGATACCAATTTAAGTTAAGGCAATAACGTTTCTCACAACAAAATAAATTAATAAAGAGGTCATGAATCAATTTTATTTATAGATTCTTTGAAATGTGGCCATTTAAGCGTTTTAAAATCTGTAGATCATACAAAAAATGAAGCTTTGTGTTTCTATCTCATAAGTCCATATACTAATGTGCATTGTATACCTCATTCAAAGCTGTTTTATAAGAAAGGCGTAGATATATATACATTAGTGGCAGAATAGTTTATTTTCTTTTTATCTAAGCTTCCTTGATTACATTTTCCCTTTGACCTCCATATTGCTCTCGATGGCCAATGACTTTCTTGTCAAATTTTCATATTCGGCTATAATGTCCCAAAAGACATAGCTAGAAAGGATAATCTGGTAGTCACCTTGTTAATCATTGTAATCAGGGAGGGGAGGGGAATCATTTTCAAGTCTAGACTAATAAACCAACGATACTTTTCTACCCCTCTTCCCCTCACCCACACCCTCCCCACTCCCCTCCCCCATTTCCCCACCCTCCCTGCCCCCTACCTAAAAAGGTACATGCAATTTTTACAAAATTTTACAATAAAAGGGAAGTAAATCTAGTTAACGTGAGTAATCAGCCATTATGACCGTTCGTGGGTTAAAGGCAGTTTAAAAGCGTAAAAACAGTTAACCAAAATAGCCCTTATAACCCATACATGGTAGAACGGTTATTTCGTTGGTTCTTTCAAATTATTAACCCACATGACACATTCGCATTCTATAA